GCCTTCAGAGGCCGTTTGGAGGCTGTAATCAGGGCTGATGGTGCCCATATTGAGTAAAAGATATTGTCAGATGTTAAATCAACTATTTATAATTAAATAAAATTTTATTTAAATCTCTCCTTGTTATAGTTCTTGATGAGGTATATCCAGACATGAGTGTAGCCATTTTTTTGCCGCATACTGTACCTTGTCTAAACTATTCACTTGTCTAAACTGTGATATTCATTCATTGATGGATGCATTAGGGCAGTCCTAATTTTTTTCTTTTTGCCGTTGAGAATCAGTTGCCAAGCCCGTTCATGTAATTTTTTTCTCTTTTTCTTCATACTACATGGTCTTCTTTGGACATCGGCACAAGCAGGTGGCAAACTTGCTGACAGTGCCATACTAGCAGTTGCCAAAACATCCCTACAGTCCTAGAATAAGCAACGTCCATGTGCAAAATTCACTTTGGGTTCACCTCAAGTAAAAAGGTAAAGACAGGTTAAAAATTGAAAAAAAATAAAGCCTGCATACTAGAGAGAAAGACAGGAATATAGAGAAGGGAATTAACCAATGTACGTTTCAAAATCAAGAGAGTAAAAGAGTAGTCCACTTTCACAGCATGTACCTGATGAGATCAAGCTGAAGGCTGTAACAAAAGAGAAATATATATTTGCGGTCTTCCTTTCCTTTACCACTTCTTGTCTCTGATCCAACATATTTTTTTCCCTTCCTGTCTTTCATGTAATCAGTCCCAGCATTTCCAGAATTTGATCACAGTAAGAAATTGCAAGCCCATGCAGGTTACACCGCCTCTTCCTTTCCCTGCACAGACGGACTGAATTGTATTGTACTCGCCTCAATCCAATGGCATATTTCACCTTTAAAATCTTTTGTCTATACATCATGATGATCGAAAAAACTATCGATACCTCCAACCATCGATAGTGGTATCAATGCATCAATCTATCATAACAGCCGTAATTAAAATGTGATTTATTTAGACTAATTTTTAAAGTCACGATTAATACTTCAATCAATTAATTGGTCAATTAACCTAATCAAATTGACAGCCCTAATATTTTAATTTTACAAATTCTTCATTTTAAATAATAGTAAAAACCCATGAAGATTTTGAATTTATGGCTTTTTGTCTGGAATGTTCTGAAGCAGATGTGGATATGCTATTGTACCTGAAAGAGACAAGAGGAAGTGAGAGGACAGGGACACTGTTGAATCTACTGGCTATTCTTTCCCGCTTCCGATGTGTCTACAATGACTGGATATCTGCCAGTCAGGATGGGGCATTTCTTTTTTCCCTTGAAGAAGCCGGTGGGTGATTACCAGTCATGTGAATCATGTTTTCAACAAATGAAAAGAAATATTATGCAAGGAATGGAAGAAAGGCAAAAACGTGTTACTTTCTCTTAAACAGAACTACACCAGCAATACATGAGGTTTCACCAGGTATTGTGGGAAAAGGTGTATCGTAGCACAGAGTTCTTGGTGCATGAACCAGGTGCACCAGAGACCTTGGGTGATTTGGGTGCCAACTTCACCATCCTTCTCTTTGAGTACCAGGGTGAACAACCCAAGGACTTGGACCTGAACACCCTAACAGTCTTTCATCGATTCTCAGGTGTCATGCCAGTGTCTACAGTCCCTTACCAGTGAGCTCTTTCAAGAGAAAATTTTCTTTTTTTTTTGCATGACTGTTTTAAGGTGAATTGTCTTTCTTTAGTATGAACTGTTCTAAAAGGAATCATTCAAATTGTATGGGGTGAGCAAGCTACTCCAAGAGCACTGAATTACAGGGTAATTATAAAGTCTCAAACTATTTTGATGTATAATACTAATATTTGTTTCTATTACTGGTTCACTGGATGCAGCAATTTATTAAAAGTGGAAAAGTGAAGAGATACTCAAAAAACATCATACTGACCCTGCAAAAGAGGATAGAAGTCTAATTTTGTCTGCATAGAATGAAGTACAATGGAGTGTGAAATGCCTTTCAATGGAATTTCCATAAACCTGGCCCAACAGAAACCAACATCCATCTACTTGTCAACAAGTTCTAAGGACTGGGATTGTTGCATATCAAAAATGCTATAGATGTCTAAGTGTAACCAAGGACACAATTGACAGAGACTTTGTTGGCCTCCTTTTTGTAGCTTCTCTGACTTAATTTGACTGCTTCTATCCTCTCTTGCAGGGTCAGCATGGTGTTTGTTTAAAGTATGCTTTCATTTTACCACTTTTGATAAGTTGCTGCATCCAGTGAACCTGTTATAGAAACAAGTATCAGCATTATACATAAAAAAGATGGAGACTTTATAATTGCCCTGTATTTCAGTTCAGACTGATTGAAAGTGAAGTCAGGTAACATTTTACATGTGATAAATTATTAGCTGATGAAGTTTTATCAATAAAAAAAAGTATACTTTATCATTATACGAGGGGTGATCGGAAAAAAACTTTACAACCAGTGTCCAACATGTTTGTATTTATTGAAACCAAACGATACAGGTGTTGCAAAGAGTGCTTATGGGGGTCTACTTTTCCACATGATCCTATTGGACAGTGAGGCATTTGTCTCAGTGAGGTATAAGGTTTTCAATGACGGCAGCATAGAATTTCATGTCTTGTGCAGACAGCCATTTTTTTACCACTTTCACCACCTCAGCATCCAACCAAAAGTGACGGCCACCGAAATGCTTTTTCATGAACGGAAACAGATGGAAATTGCTTGGTTGAAGATCATGGCTGTAAGGTGGGTGCTGAAGGACCCCCCCCACCCCATATTCTGTCGTGCCACGTGGGGATGAGCGTTACCATGGAACAATTTGTTGTGTTAGATGTCCTGGCCTTCTTCGCCAGATTGCTTCATGTTGGTGCTGCATAGTTTTATAGTACCCATCAGCCTAATCAGTCTTTCTGAATTAGTCAGTCAACACGAATTGCATTGTCTTTTGTTGATGAATCACAAGGCACTGCTATCCTTGTTCTTGTCGACTGTCGACACTCGTTCACCCACAAATTGTCTGCACCATGCGTCTTCCAGTTGATCCGAGGTTTTGGATAAAGGCATACCTTGTTTACTATTGAATTCAGTATTGTTGCCTGAATAATCTCCTGAGTGGAGTTATTCACCTCAGTTCAGTTGTATTTTTCAAAGCCATGGAAGACACAGTAAAAGCTCAGCGAGCAATTATTTTCTTTTGGTGGAGAGAAGGTGCATGTGGTTCTGAGATTGTTTAAAGGCTGGAGGCTATCTTTGGAGAATCTGCAGAATCAAAGAGCACTGTTTACCAATGGCTGGAGCAGTTTAAGGATTGTCATCAGACCTTATAAGACGACCCTCACAGCAGTTGCCCTCAAATGGCTACCACCAATGAAAAAATTCATGCAGCAGAAAATATTATAATGAAAGATCGATGAGTTCCTGTTCAGGAGCTTGCTACTACCCTTGGGGTCAGAACCAGAAAGGTTCATGAGATTCTCCATGAACATATCGGTATGACGAAGGTTTCTGCCAGATGTGAGCCTTGCCTGTAGGGGCCTGAACAATAGGTTGATCGAATGGAAACGTGTCGAGAACTGCTTCAATTTAGATAAGAATACAAGGAGAGTTTTTTCGATTGTATCATCACTGTAGATGAGATGTGACTTCCCTACTTCAATCCCGAGACCATATCACAATCTAAGGAGTGGCACTGATCTGAAGTAGGACCTCCTTCGAAGGCTCCAACTATTCCCTCTTTGGGGAAGGTTATGATTACGGTTTTCTGGGATTGCAAAGGGATGATAATGATTTACTACATACCAAAAGGTACCATAATGAATGCAGAATACTATTCTAATCTGCTTTTGGGCCCTCTCTGAAAAGCTCTTATTGAAAAACGTCCTGGGAAGTTGCATGCAATGCAAGACCCCACAACTAGAGCAGCCATAGCAGGATTAAGGTGGGAATTGCTCCCACATCCACCCTACTTGCCAGATCTGGCTCCCAGTGACTACCACCTCTTCAGCGAGATGAAGAAGCCTCTGTGAAGAGTGCTTTTGATTTCCTCAATGCAATGAAAGCTGCACTAAACAGGTGGATCAGAAACACTCCAGAATTTTTTTTCTGATGGTCTAAGGAAACTGATTCTACGATGGAGGAAGTGCATCAAACTCAGGGGACTATGTTGAAAAGTGACAGTATAATGGTGATGAGTAAAGAAGTTACCCAGAAATTATAAAGAAATTCCCATAACTTTCTGAATGCCCCTTGTGTATAGTATATTTGAAAAAATGTAATTTCAGTAAGGTTTTCATTTAATAAAGGAGGTTTAAGCCAAGGTTTTACCTCTGCACAGGACTGCTTGATAGGGATTGGAGTAACATATCCATGGATTAAGTGAATGGGTATCTAGATAGAAAACAAGTTACCTCAGCTCACATAGACCATAATCTTCAACTTACTCAATTTTACTTCTTGATTTATGTTTTCATACTCATCTATTTCCAGTGTGGCAGTGCGCTACCTGAATGTTCTGCTGGAAGAGAGTTTTCTGGCAAAGATTCAGGATGGAGAAGCTGAGTCTTATGAGCGTCTCATTGTCCAGGCATGGCTTCGGGCCCTCATCTTTCACAGTCCTCGGGATGGGGTAGTCGCACAGTCACTAGAGGACCTCACTCATCGTCTCTTCTCTCAATTACCCTCTCTCCATGGCAACATTCTGCAGCTCTCTGATTTACAGGAACAAGATTGGATTGCTTTTCTTGTTGCCCTTGGATATGGATATCAGATCTATGTATGATAGCATTCATATCTCATTCAGCCATGCTTTTTTAATCTTGTGAGGCTACTGACTTCACAAAACAATGAGGACAACTTGTTGTTTAAGCTGCTCTAGTACTTTATTGGATTCAGATGAAGGATTTTTTTGTCAAAAGAATTTTGCACAGTGAGTGACTAAGGCTCATCAAAAGAATCCAATGTGGTAAAGCCTTTTTTTTCCAGTACAAGCTGCATACCAGAAGTCAAGGCTATGCCCCTCTAGTAGCTGTGTTCATAACTATAAGGCCAATTGCTGGTTGTCATTATTTAATCCTTTGTCCTTAACCCTTAGTCATTTTGTTGCTATGACTAATGATTTTAGTGATTTGTTTTTTTAATGTATTTTTCTACTGGGTTAAAACGGGAATTTCACAATTGAGGAGCAAGAAGCTGTGGTGAAATTTCTTGTGGCACCAAGAGAAAAACCTATTGACAATCATCGCCAGCTGAGGGAACATGTGAGGATTATTACCTTGCTGACAGCACCATTCACTAATGACTGTGAATTTGCTGGCAGTGAAGACTCTACCAAATATGCAATTTGGGAGGTCAAAAACTGCAACTTCTGGTGAAAACACCAGACTTGTAGAAACCTTATTGATTCAGGAGGGGTGTTGATGAAATTGCCTCAATGTTGGGACTATCTCTTGGCACAATTGAGCTGATTTGTCTGATGAACTGCACATGAGCGAAGCCAGTGTTAAATGGGTGCCATTCCTGCTTGGTGCAGGCAAAAAGCTAAGTCCAGATGACTTTGCTCATTTCATGCTGACACAAAATGCAGTAAATTCAGTTAATTTTATGGATCATATCATCACAATGTATGAGTGCTAGAACTTCAATCCCAAGAGACAGTCACAATATTGGACACATAGTGAATCCCCACCACCAAAGAATATTCATTAAATTGCTTCCAATGAGAAAGTCCTCTATGCCATTTTCTTTGACAAATGAGGTTTGATTTTGTCCAACTTGGTTCCAAGTGTCAAACAATTACTAGACAATATTATCTTAACATCTTAGAAAAGGGATTCCTTCCAACTGTGGACAAACTGCTCCCACATCCCGCCAATGGCAACTTCATTCATCCTTTGTGAAGACAATGCACCACCTCACACTGGCTGTGTTGTGATGAAGTTCTTGGCTGAGAGGGGCATATCCTTCATATTTGCCAGACCTGGCCCAGAGTCACTTCTGGCTGTTCAGCCAACTGAAAGACCCACTATGGAGAATATGTCATCCATCACAAGTGGCCTTGTGAACTGCAATTTTCTGGTTGCTTAAACAAGCGCCTGAAAATGACTTCCTTTCAGTGTTTATGCAATTGGGTAAAATGGTAGTGGCTGTACATAGAGAAAGGTAATTATGTGGAAATGTGAGCAAATAAGTTTTGAAATTCATCGCCTCCTGGACAAGCTGTACCAGCATGGCATGGACTTTTGGTATGCACCTTGTAATGTGGGACCATCTGTTGGTATTTATCTTCACCCATATCCTCTGACAATGTGTGTATGGTATTAGAACACAGTAATAGATGGCAATTACAAGGAGTGAAAATATATGGATTGATATTCCTACTTAACAAACTTTTATCCATGAATTTCTCAGAATTATTTTCATAGCATGAAAGCAAATCCACATCTGGGAACCACAGCATGAAAAGTCTTTGTTGTGTGGATTATCCCAGAGCTATGAATGAACAGTTTGACCACCTTGGATCACTCACTGTCACCATTTTATGGTCTACAAGAGATGTGTTTGTGTGGGACAGCAACTTTCTTGATGTCCTAGAAGGTGTTATATCTCAACTGGACATGAATTTTGAGGTATATTTGGCTCCAATTACCTTGATAAGAATTGGGATTGGTCACAATGTTGAGTCCATTTTCCATAAGTTAACCAGACTATCTCCATACATGGCTCCAAAATAACCAAGCTACAGGTATTGCATGGGAAAACCAATTGTAGCACCTGTATCTGGTGATGCTGTCACATCATTGGATTTGATATTTTGATGCACACCTCCAAATTTTTCCATCTCATCATGTGCCAAAGGACTTGCAACCCTCTTGAGCAGTGATGTCTTAAAATTGATAGAGCATCTTGAAGAGGTATTTGTGATCAATTTAGAATGAAAGAATCTCTGATGGAATGGATTGAAGTTTTTGGCTGTCAACAATTTCCTTTTGATGAAAATTGTAATATCATTTCAATAAATATACTTCTAATCATTAATGATTGACATGAGATATGTACATATAAGGTTGAATTGGTGTTATTTCCAAGGAAACGGAGGGAGAACAAGTGCATTACAAGGCTCTGGTCCTTTCCTACCTGGGTCCTCTGGACAAACATCTAAGAATTCGGGTTCATTCCCCTGATCTTGACTGGGCACAGGTTCACCATGTCCTCTCCCAACTTGTCTTCTCATGTGGACCCCTCATCTATGATGCTGTATAAATTCCCTAGCTTCCTTCTTCCATTTTATCAATGATTGAGGAAGCACATTAATTTATTCATTGGCTCGATTTTTCCCAACAGGACAAAGATTGCCTCCTGTCCAGTTTGTCTGCTTTGGTCATTTTGCCACCTTCAGTCTATGATCTTGCACGGCCTCTTGCTTTACCTGTCCTTGAAGCCCTTCGTACTCACCTGGCCATGGTGAGAGCTGAAGTGTTGGTACTGCCTCTGTTTTGTATTTGTTTATTTATAAAAGATGTTTTGTCTGTGATTAGAATTTTAATGCTCCTTTTGCTCATTCATTCCCCATAATTTGAAGATATTGGGTTCTTTCTTCTATTTTTTTTCTTTTTTTTTTACCTTGTAAAACTATGAATCATGAATACCAACCATCTGAATTTGACAATTTTGGATTTTCGTCATTGTTTTTTAAAAATTCTGCAAAAGGCCTTTGATTTTGGTTTTGTCTACAGTATGTGAGGGGGCTGTGGCGTCTTCTGCAAGCAAGAAATGACCGTTTTCTCCATTGCACCCTCAGAGACATCTTTGCCTGCTATGTTCACAGATTCCCCATTAGAACCTCTCCCTCACATTCTGAGCACCCTCTCCTGGTTTGCATTTTATCATTTTCCATTCCTTAAAAAAAAAAATAATTTCTCTATCCGTCATATTGCTGAGGCTGTGAAGACCATGACAGGAATTTCTCAGGCTTACACAGATTTTATTTGGTCATTATGTCTGGAATCTTCATGTAACTGTTTTCTTTATGTGTACCATATGTGTATGGGGATATGAAGTTTTCAGAAATTCTCTGCTTTTTCTAGGAATGCCTACTTGAGGAAGAAGGCTTACAGGAGTACCTGAATACAGCCATTTTGGAGACTCATCTCTCTCAAAAAGACAAGCATCCAATCATCTCTGGGAGTAGTTCATTATCGTCAGCACTCCGCCCAACAGTTGAACCGCTCTCTCAGGTTTGAGAGTCTCAGCATTTGTAAACCTTACTCTTTCAATTCAGATATTCATTGGAGAAAAAAATTGAAACAATCTATAATAAAAAAAACAAGGAATGTTTTGTCCATTGTGATGGACCACAGAAATGAGACTGCAGGCATCAGCCCATGGCATTCCCTTCAACAGATGCAGTTAGCATCTGTAATAGTTGTGGTTAGCCCTTATCTCCAAAAACAAAGGAACCTTGGAATGGGCAATGAGGCTGATGTTCCTTTCACTTCATGCCAGCTGTAGGAAACTTGTGTTCATGAGGTTGTTTATCCAATTTCACCTTCCACCCTAAGAGCTTATTGGTATCATATCTAAATATGATCAGCAATAATCAGTATCTTTAACCCCTTCAGTAGATATGACATATATATCCCTCATAGTGAAATTCTTCTTGAGGGGTTTGGCTTTTTTTTTTGTCCCATTATATTTTGAGTTTGAGTTAAATATAAATTTAAAACCTGAAATAATCATGGAGCCACTGGTGGAAATTAACTTATTCAATTTCTCTGGTTTTGGCACAGTTTCCTTGAGAAGCATCATTAATTCTGCTCTCTTTTTATTTCATTTGCAAGTCACTTGATGACTGGTAACTGATGAAAATGATTAAAATGTTGCATCAGAATGTAGAAGAAATAAAAGTTGTTTCGTGGATGGGAGTGCATTAGTACAAACACTTTTCAGGACATTGTCAGTCTTGCTTCTTAACCCCATGAAGATTTCGAGTCTGGTAGCCATGTGATTCAATTGTTGAATGTCATGCCTTTGCTTATGCACTGGCATACAAAAGTTATCATAGCCAAACACCTAACATGTTCAATATTACATTGAAAACAATTTACAAGACAAAGTTATAAATGTGTGATTTTACATTAAAAGACAAATGGCATGCAGGAACAAGGTGCATAATATTACACCAATAACACTAAAGTGGTTAATATCAGAAAGCTCCATGAGAAACTTCATGAAGCAGGAAGAGTGCTAGATAGCTGTTGTTCTGATAGACCTCAAGTACTTCCTCAGCATTAGTTCACCCCTGAATTTTTTCAATTTTTGTGTCATTTGAAGCAATATTTAAAGTGGGTTCAAGTACATTGAAGAGCACTTAAGCGGAAATTGTGATTTAACACACATTCTGTTTGGTGAACCATCTCATGAAACCTTCTGATGATCTGTTTGTCAATCTTGAAGGAGTTTCTCAGTGCATCCTGAAATATCTTTGCACTTGAGTGAAGCACTCATGCACATCCATCTATAGAACTTTTTTTTTCTTTTAGATTCTGGTGTGGCATTTGCATCGCTTTCATCAATTATCAGCCATCACTCACTTGCAAATAAAAGAAAAAGAGAGCAAAATCATTGAAATTCCTCATAAGAAACTGGGTCAAAACCAGTGAAAACATGAATAAATTGAATTTTCTGTTGGTGACTCCATGTTGGTTCTGTTCAAATTTAACAAATGACTCTGCAATAAACTTTCGAATCTCTACCATCATCCTGCAAAGTTTTAACTTTATAGCTTTTGTAGTTAAGTCCCCAGAATATTTTCTTTTTGGTAACAAACTTTGTGTCCACCCTGTTTACAGTAATTGAATGCCAGTCCTGTTTCACACTACTGTTCTGGAGATGTTATGTTGAGGATGGTATGAGAATTCTCCTGGTTGAGACCAAAGCTCAATGCATTTGGTGCTCTTGTTCCTTCTTTCAGTTGCAATGATCTCATGCCTTCATGGCTGCTGTGATTGTGTCTTTGACACAGGCCCTGAACTTCCTCCATGAGAGCCTGGAGTCATACAAAGGAGAGCTGAAGTGGCGATCCATCACAAAGGCAGCTGGTGTCCTAGCCTCCCCTCTCCTGCTACTCCTTGTCTACACTGAGAACCTTCCACTGAAGCGGGTTGCCAATGTCATTGTACAGATGTTCCTCACTGCTGCCACCCCTTCATCCCCTCTCTTCCAGTGAGTTCCTTCTGTCTCAGTGCTGTGAAATTCATCCCTGCAGGATGCCAGCATGTTATTTTTTAATATTCTAATAATAATTTTTAGAGGGTGTGCACACTTAGTGTATACAAGGTGTGTCCCAAAAGTATCCAAACTTTTTCTATACAGACAGTATTAGTGGCGCCATTTGTTGAAAGAAGGTGGCGTTCTATCGGTTGAACCTTCATGTATTACTCTGTTGAGTTTGGTTGGGCTAAGACGAATGAGTCATTGCCCAGGGCGCCAAAAGTAACAGTACCCTTATGACACTGGGACTTAACTACAAAAGCTATAAAGTTAAAACTTTGCAGGATGATGGTAGAGATTCGAAAGTTTATTGCAGAGTCATTTGTTAAATTTGAACAGAACCAACATGGAGTCACCAACAGAAAATTCTGTGTAAAATTGGGGAAAACATTTATGGAGACGCTCAAGATGTTGCGGAAGGCTTATGGGGAACAAGCACTATCACATACAACAGTTTACAAGTGGTATGCAAAGTTTCAGAATGGTAGAGAATCGTTGGAAGACGATGAACGCAGCGGGCGCCCTTTGACCAATTGAACAGACGAAGCAGTGGAAAAAGTGCGTGATTTGATCAAAAGCAACCGTTGCATGTCCGTGAGACTCATTGAGGATATCATAGGTATCAGTAAATCACAAGTTTACCACATTTTGACCAAAGATTTGCAGCGGCAAAAAGTCTGTGTGCGATTTGTTCCGCACTCATTGGACGACGATCAAAAACAAGCCAGAGTGCTGTATGCTCAAGACATCATTTCAATCACCGATAATAACCCAAACTTTTTAAAAACCATTGTAACTGCCGATGAAACATGGTGTTTTCAATATGAGCCACTCACGAAGCGCCAGAGCTCAGTTTGGAAGACTCCAGAAGAACCAACACCAAAAAAAGTGCGCATGCAGAAGTCAAAAGTGAAAACAATGCTAATCACTTTTTTTTATTCGTCTGGGATTATCCACAAGGAGTTCGTTCCAGAAGGCCAGACGGTAATCCTGTAACGGTTCACCGTTATGAAGCGTTTGCTGGCCAATCTTGCTCGGGTTCGTCCTCGATACCAAGCACCAGGCAGCTGGTCTCTCCTCCACGACGATGCTCCGTCTCACAGGTCCATAATTGTGCGGAACTTTTTGGCCTCAAAAGGAGTCGTAGTGCTTGACCACCCGCCCTATTCGCCTGATTTGGCACCCTGTTATTATTTCCTTTTCCCCAAACTAAAAAGGAACCCGAAAGGAAAACATTTCGACACGATTTTGGACATGAAGAAGACTTCGACCAAGGTTATTTCCGCCATCTCGGAGGATGACTACCAGAGCTGTTTCCAAAAGTTGTGTGATAGCTGCAAAGCAAACAATTCCTCGGAAAGGATGTATTTTAAATAATCAATGATGAAAAGTATAAATATCACACGGGAAATTGATTTGTAACTGAAGTTTGGATACATTTGGGACAGACCTTGTATATAGACAATCGTGACTGACTGACGCTAATTTTAACCATGTTCCAAAAAGGTTAGAAATCTGAAACTTGGTATACATGTACCTTTCGGGGTGCAGAGTTCAGAAAAAATCCGACTTTGGAGGTACATGCCCTGGGGGGTACACATTTTCGTGGAAATGTAAAGGCTTCGACCAAGGTAATTTCCACCATCTCGGAGGAAGACTACCAGAGGTGTTTCCAAAAGTTGTATGATCGCTGCAAAGCCTGCATTTCTTCAGAAGGGACATATTTTGAATAATCAATAATAAAAATGATAAATATCACATGGGAAATTGATTTGTAACTGAAGTTCGGATACTTTTGGGACAGACCTTGTATGCAAAAAGTATTGAGCTTCTAACATAAAGTACCTTCAAGTATGAGTTGTTCAAATTTGCACCTGCCTTAGTATTGCTTTAGGGCATGATATTCACAGAAGCAGTGGTCAACTCAGGGCCCTGCTGCCTCCGAGGTAATATGCCACAGTGATTCTATTTCATTCTCACCAGCATGCAAGTGAACACTTCCATGTACAGCCATGTTGCTTGCTCCTAGCTGGGATCTCAGCTAGAGATCCTTTATTTATCATTGGAATTCCTGCCAGGAGGGGAAGGTTTAAGCATTGACAAAGGCACAAAGCACCAGGCAAACTACAAGCACAAGCCCATGTCTGTAGTACCCATACCATTTTAGGAATTCCCCTGAAGGCTGGATTAACAAGAGTTGACTATATGTTTGGGAACTTTTGAACCTGCAGTGTACCTTGTTCATTCCCCAATATTTACATCAAAGGTTTTCTTTCTATTCATCCCTGCTCTCCTTTTTTATGTTGAGAAAGGAATACAGTGAAAACTTAACTCAAATCCTGGTAAGTCGAAATTCCGCTTATCTCGAAGTTCAATGCTTGGTCCTGGCGGAACCCTGTAGGACATAATGTTAAAAGCTCCATTTAACTCAAATTCGCTTATCTCGAATTTCCAGATATCTTGAATTAAATTTTCCCTCCCTATAACAATTTTCTCATAGTTAACTCAAATTCAGGGTGAGAAGGGGGAAAAAATTCTTCTTGTGGGACTTTTAGATTTTTGAATAGAATGAATGACAAGAAACCCATTCAGGAGAATGTTCTTTTGTTTTTTTTTCTGCTTCTCCCTCCTCCCACACAGGCATGCCTGTGGAGAGGATTAAACCTGAGGATTAAAACCGAAAAGCTTCGGCTTTAAGAAAGCCTCCAACATTTACTCTGTCAATCTATCGCTCTCACTCTGAGCCATTCTGCCCCCTATGTACCTTAACGTGAGTTTTTTTGGAGGGAGGGGGGTGCAATTCCTGATAACTCGAACTTCATATAACTCAAAACGATTTGCCTGGTCCCTACAAGTTTGAGTTAACGAGTTTTCACTATACCTTGCCATGGTATGTCAAGAAAATGTTGAAGCTAGAAGATTATACTTTATTTATATGAGTATATCTTGAATGTTTCCTTTTCAGAAAATAGAAGTATACTGTCTTCTTTTAGGTCAAAGCCTTCCTAGGGAATGTTCAATATATCACACATTGTTCATGATCTCACAAAAGGTGAATGTGCATTTTTTACTTTTTTCAGGTGAGAGATTTTTTTTCATGCTAAGGAATGACAGACTAATGTTCAGCTTTTGCACCAGGGAACTGAGACTCTCAAGTTCTGGTACAAAGGTAAATATTCCTTTAATTCTCCTTTCTGAAAGACAGGTGAACCTGCATTCACACTTTTGTGAGATCATTGATGTGCTTGCAAGATAAAAGCTTGGATATATGGCTATTTCCAGATTTTGACATGAGCTTGCATGAGATTTCCATTATTTTCGGTTTTCAATTACATCCAGTAGTTTCCCTGTCTCCCCATCAAAGTTATACCATTTCATTATACCTCCTCTTTTCCAGAGCAATTTCATGATAGACTTGTATTGGAGTGGATGATGTTGTTTCTCACAGGACAATGAGAGACATTGTGCTGAAGGTGACACAATGTCACCTAGGGTTTCGTACTGATGGCACCTTCCGCCTTCTTGAGGTCCTGTGTTGTGTCCATCCTACCCTGATGACCTCCGTCTTTCCTCAGATCTCCATCATCATCTCAGAACTTGAGGAGAAGCGTCAAGTCAAGCAGGATCGGGTGCTTCGGTCAGTTTGACTTTTGTGTTTGGTAGTGCCATGGTTCAGGCAATTTATTTTGTGTCATCCTTTAATTTTTTTTTCAAGGGAGGGTGAAGCCAAGTTGAAGACTGCACTGCAGCGAAACACATGATCCTTTTGCCTGTGATAGACTGTCTTTTGAGAATGTGTTTAACTTAAAGTATTGTGACATGTAGGAAATGCAATTTTGAGTCACCCTAAGAAGTGATTCTTAATATTATCCCTATTTGTAAATGAGATTTGTTTCCTTTTTCCCTGCATTCATGTGCATCCATGTGCAACCCTTCCAATACGCTTTCCTGTGGCTTTTTCTGCAGAAAAAGCTGGAAAAGGGATGATACATGCTCAGCATTTAATTAGCTGGGCAATTCACAATCCAGATTTTGACCTCCTTTCACTGACTTAGAATGGAAGGAGGATGTTGCTGCTAGGTTGGGGGGTGAGAGGAGAGTACAATGTGCCACATTCCTAGATATGGCATAGTGAGAAGGGGAAGGTGGGGCAAAATGGGGCAACTTGTATTTTAACCAAACCATATCCGGTATCTTACTTATATTGCTTACTCACTTTTTTGGCAGTGTCTTAATAATTGTAGTGCGTGTGGGGCAAAACGGGACGGTATAGCGGCTCTACTTGTCTCTTCTTCTCTGCTAGAATATCCATTACAACGGTGAGACTCGGGCTGAAGCGATTTGTTACTGTTCAGATTCTTTCTCTCGCTCAAAACCCATTGAAGTTTGGGTGACCTGCTCTGTTTGCTGGACTTAGGCTCATGACGGCTGTGCAGGCATTGATGACACGGATGAGAACGTGTTCGTTTGTGACATTGTAAATATGCATCTATGATGAAGACATGGGTAACAATTTAAAGGGCAACAAATCTTTTGCCATATGTTTCATTGCTGTTTCTGTTTGACCTATTTAAGTAGGTATATATTATGAATAAAAACCTTGTAAAACAATATTTGGAAGAATACCCCCATTAGGCCCCATGGGTGGGGCAAAATGTGAGAATTTTTAGAATTGTGGGGGGGGGAACCGTTGCTGATTTCGCGTTGAAATTGAGTCCTTGTCTTAGGTAAGACATGAAAGGTACCACATACCAATCTGTAACGCGCCACGCCAGCTCAATGGCACTCAATTTTGGTAATTTTCCTTAACTGCCCCGTTTTGCCCCCTCTTCCCCTACAGCTTGCCACCATGTTTGTCTATGCCACTTTGATTGTCGACAATGGATCCATTTGCTGTGAAGGCTGGGAGGGACTTGGCAGCTTTGGTTGGGGGGCATGGCACACTGATCCAGGCTGTGCCACGCACAAATTCCTTGAGGTTGTGATCCAGAGAGGCTGATGGTTGATCATGCCTTCTTTTATTTTCAAATTTCACAATCAGCGATATAAGTTGTATTTTTGGCGCATATTTTGCAAAAAAACGAAGTTCAGCCATGATTAGCTTGTGTATCTACTTACCAATTTTCATAGTTATCAGGTTGATTTTTTTTTAGGTATCAACATACCAAATTGTGACCGGCAGGACAGGGCTAAAAGTATAATCGCCTCCTTCCTTTCAGGAACGAAGGCGCACTAAAACCCCAGCCCCTTCCGTAATAGATAGTGACACTTCGGGAAGAAATGCATTTCAGATGTCAACAACTCAAACAACGGTGAGAGATGAAAGGGGAGGAAGGCAAAAAAACCACAAGCAAACATGTCCTCACTATCAAATATATCCTTAATACTCTCTTCATATTTGAGTCCAAATATCATTCATGCCCCATCAGGGTAATAATTTTTTCTCCTTCACTGGTCCAAGGTGTTATCTGAAACAAAGGATAAAGGTGTATGATCCTGAAGTACATTCTCTAGACCAGGGGTGTGCAACCTTTACTGACAGTGGGCCGCATGAAAATGTCTGACTGCAAGCATGGCATTGAATGCAATACCTCGTAGAAGATATTCCCCCTTGTATGCTCTCAGGGTGTGCAGTAGACCGCGTGTCTTAGGGTCGCGCTTGTTGACCGACGACCCTCACCCCTTCTCCACTACTTGGAAATTCCAACGTCCAAAAATAGCCTGTAGAACCTCCTTCCTCGGGACATTTGAAAAACCGCGCGCGTGAGGATTAATTAGGGGAATAAAGTGAAAGGACTTGTTTTCATCTCTACGGGATGACCAAAGTTGCGATGGGACGCAGACTGCAAAGGCACTCATTTTAAATGTTATCCCATTACACTTTACTCGCTAGAAGTAGGTCCACAGGACGCGGGTTGCACATCCCTACTCTAGACTAAATATTTTGGAATAATCACTTTTTAGGCGTTAATTCAAGTACTTCCTAATGTTTATCCAAGAATGTCTGACATTCGGATGTACTGTGATGTGCTGAGTGTACCATTCCAATACAACCAAATCCAGTTACCTATCACTTCTCAGTAGATTTACATTTTGAAACCCTTAATACCAGAGAATCGCTATTGAATAGTTCTGGTGGTTTTTTAACTCAAGAAACCTTATTGGACTCCGAGAGACATCTGTCATGTAGAATCTATGACGAGAATATGACGAAGACAAGAAAATATGACCACAGGGTCGTGCAAAAGTTCCCGTACACTTTGAAAATCTAATTTTTTCACTAATCAACGGATTTTTGGCGATTCTGATGGTTTTTTTTTAATTCTACGGACATTTTTGATACGAAATGTTTTCATTATAGTAAATTTCAGTCTTCATTTGAATTTTTTTCTCTGGAGCTATGACGCCTAAAGAGAAACGAGGTGCTAATCGAAGTGTACGGGAACTTTTGCGCAACCCTGTATATTCTTGGATTAATCGATTCCTGGTCTATCAGACTTCGATCTTTGGATTGTAACATGTCTTTAAACTTGAGAAGGTTGTTGATCGCATCGGGGTGGTGCCACCGTAGAAATAACTGCAACGTCCAACTATGGGAAAACTTAAGTCCATAGGGAGTGACTGCTTCATTTCACGACCTGGGGATGAGGCCTGTCAGGAACCTGCTTTGGTCTTAGAGGTGTGGGTTAGCGTTTTCCGCGGGTATTCCTGCGTACCACTTTTTTGACGGGATGGCCTCGTTGCGGAGTCTCCTACTGATGCGACTGAAACTAACGCCGTTATCGATTCTGTTAGTCAGTGCCAAAAGCCACCTAATGACTTGTTTTTTTTTTTAAAGATCGTATTAGGGGTTTTTAAGGATGCTGAATTTATTTGCGCAAAGAATCAAGCGATGTTTCGCCTCTAAAGTGGATTTATAGCTAATACAAGTAAACAATTGGACTCCACGGATCTTCCAGAAGCTAAAGCATGATCATCCGTCCCATGAACATTTTATTTTTGCGCATTTGGTGCGTTCTTGTTTAGATCGACAGGATTGTGGGGCTTTAAGGAGAATAAGGAAAGACTTTGCTCTTCCCGATATTGGCTTTAGAGCGTTTCACCGTCAGGCTAGTCATCTGTAGGAAGCACGGGACTCGTAGGGTATTTCCTCACGGGTTATCAGTTTTGCGCAGTAGCATATGGTGAGTGCCACCCTTGTGACGTCAAAAAGTTCAGGATTATCAGAATTTCTTACAACTATGGGCCCGAGATTCCGTGTTGCAAAGAAGGCATCGTGTTATGAATACTAATGACTCGTTTTTGCTTATTCGAAGGATACGTCCACCGGTAGAAAATCAGGATTTCTCGAACCGGACGAGGCAAGATAGGCCGACTGACCTGAGATGGTTTGAACCTTGCCGCACTTTTCAAGGCATTCGTCCTGGGTCTCGAACCGGTTATCGTTCCCCAAGCAGCCTCCATAATCGAAGCCCTCGCACTGTCCTGTGTCTGGGTTCCAGTAAATCATGGGTATCAGCGCCCGACACGGCCCCACTTCCTTCGGCAACCTGCACGCTTTCTCCCAGTTCGCTGAAAAGCAATAAGCAAGTTCACCTTGGGTTCCATCTACTATAATGACATTCAGATTTTTAAAAATTATATTCAAGCATTTGTAATATTCAGTATTCTATTCGAATATTCAACTCCCAAGATGTGCGTAGTCATTCAAACTAGCGTCTAATATTTAGTATTCCGTTCGAATACACAAATTTAGCTCGAATAGAAAGTTCTGCTTGCTCTCTCATCTCTGCCATGCTCATTGAGCTGGCGTGTGGTAACATTCAAAATTGAATTATTTATTACCCTTTCAGTCAGGAACTGATGACCTGCTGATGAATCTGCCCTCTAGATATTGCTAAGTGTAGGTAGTAGCCAGTTTTAGATACTTTAAATGCCTCAAATCGATGCAGTTCCCGCATATGTTCAAGATATGTTTCATTCTGGTCGATGCAAAGGGAGTCCACTCATGAGGGACTTAAAGAACTAACACAAATAAAATGATAAATGATAAAATTGAACTTCCCGCCTCTTGCTTGGCCACCGCCAGTGATTTCCCCCACAATTATACCCTTCTCTAATGGGCAATGAACGACATTACTCCTCCATTGTGGCTTTGCCGTTGAACGCTTTGGCAAAAAAAAAGAAGAAAAACTTCCCGGGCTCGGCGCCAAACATAGGAAACCTCTGCTTCAATTTATCAATCGGTATTACTTTTCCCATGGCTCAATATTCACACGTGCCATCGTTCACTTAAGAAGTGCACCAAAGAGAAGGTTAATGCAAGGTTCGCTTTGATCTCGCATTCCTCCGCCGATCCGGTTTCCCTATGCTCCGGAAACCCGTTGCCGAGCCATTGCACTCATGTTTTAAAGGCAGTGCCTAATGCAGTCATCCAGTTGTCTTTATTCAGCATGTTGGCTTATTCGTCGTTTTTTTCCCTGGACAGGAAGAAAGAATGCCTCTGAATCTGTTAGAATGCCTTAAATGGATGAAAATGCAATACAAAATTTGTGCAATTGTGCAAGTGCGAATACTATCGAACACTTCAATCTTTCCGTGCCGGCGTTTATCTATCGACGCGCGCCTTCTCAGCGTCGATCTGATTGACGCACCGGTTTTGGTAAGAGGGTTCGTATATATTCTAATAGATGGTAGTAGCATCTGGTCTGTGAGATAGAGGAAGGTTTGTCCTGATAGCTGGTATCTACAGTACTTTCAGTTATTCGAAGAAAGTAAGTTAAATGAAAAGGAAAAGGGTTAAATTAAATGTTTCAAATTTTCACTTTCGTGCTTCATGGAGTAATGTGTGAATTTGGAACAAGTTATTTTTGCTGAAGTGTTGAGTCCATTTGCGAACCGAAGAGTCGAAATTTTTCGTGATCGTAAGTCTACCCAGTGCAGTACACTCGTGACGGGGGAATCAGGACGAAGCAGACTGGGTAATTGCCTCTCCTTTTTTTCTTCTTTCTCCGCTTCGCTTCCCTTCGCCTCATCCTGCGAGGGAGTGAGATGAAGGAACTTTCTCCTAATTTGAGAGCGAGTGTCTCATTTTCTCCCTCCACGAATGAGAAGGAAATGGGATTCGGGAAGCGTCCACTTTCCCTTCCAGTATCTCTTGAAGAGGAACTCCATGGTTCAATAGCCACAGAGATTATAAGATTGTCTGCCATTGTAAAACGATAATGCCTTCGTTGGGAAATTTTCCTGTCTTACAGTTTTTGCCATGCATATACTTAGGAAAACTATTGATTTTGAGCATATTATGATATTTTGTATTTAATTCAGGGCATTAAAAATGACAAATGGGAAATTTTTCACTTGCCTCCCCTTCTTATCCCTCACATCCCGCATACTTTCTCTGTGCCATAAAATCCCCCGGCGTATCGTGTACAGCAAGAGTGAAGAATGAATGTTCTCCCCTCCCTTTCCCAAAAAAAAAAATAAAATGTCCCATCTTAAAAAAATTACTCAAAATTACTGAGGAAGAAACGTTGATACAACCATGAAACTTCATCCGATGTAAGACTCCACATTTTGACATTTTTGAGGTAGATAAAAACGGGAAATGCAGTGGGGGAGAAGCGAAGCGAGCCTATTTTCGGGACCGGGAGTATGGAGGGCCTACGAACGCCTCCAGCGGGGTCCAGATGCACAAAGGTCCCAGAATCTCTGAGTATTCAGCAAAATATAAGGAGGAAGCGTAGGCCATTCCAATTTTCCACTCGTTCGTTATACTTTAAAATCGAAAAAAAGGTGTCTTGAAATGATGGCATCTTCATCAGAAGTACCTTTCATTCCTTGGTGTAGCATGAAGCCAAAAATGGCTGCCGATTGCAGGTACCGAAAAAACATAAGATGAAAAAATTTGAAGGAGGGGAATATGCCCCTCTGTCCCCCCGTATGGGTGTTCCTGTCATCACTTCTAACCGAAGCGTTCTTGCAACTAAAGTTAGTTCATAATAGTACGGTACATGATAGTATTAATACGTATACGTAATAATAATGTACTCAAGGAAGTTTTTGATGATAATCCTCAAGAATCTTCTCATCCTTGATGGAGCCTCCTGGATCCTTCTGAGTCGGATGCGCTTTTATTTTACCAAAAGCGCCGGTCAACTTCCAACCCGTAATCACGTGTAAAGTTGCGATGACGGGTGGTGAGTTTCGAAAAAGGAGCTACCTTGGAAAAACGAACTGTTACCCGCTGATCGTCCTTCCGCCAGTTGCAATCATGGCAAAGAAGCTCAGAGAATGATTGGTAATACATTGAACAATGGGAGTGGGGGATGCATTCAGTTGAACTGGAAAACGATTTAGGCGTGAATGCTGAAACCTCATTTAGGCGAAATAAAGGGCGAGGTGAGAGAAAGAAATTACTATATAGGGAAGACTAGGACATTCCTACGAAATCCCTAGCCAACATTAATACCAAACCTTAAACCATTTTGCGTAGCATAGTTATGTGTCATCATCGATACATGTAACTCAGTCATCCCAGCACCCATACACTGAATCTGAACAAGAAGACGGTAATTTATAAATGGAAGTGAAAATGATATGAGGCTTCAAGTTCTTAAATCTTTGCAGGCTCTTCGTCGAGGGCACGGTCGTGCTTATGCTTAACAGTACTACGTTGAAGTAGCACTCTCCAGAGTACTCAAGGGAACACTCCAAGCCACTTTTTTTTTTGCCCTTGTGGCAAATTTTAACCCGTGTATCTCGGCCCTCATTTGCCAACGTTTTTGGCTGTACTATATGAATTCTTAGATGGTCGAGCATAGACCATTTGGAGAATGTTCCACCTGTTGAACAATGTAAGAGGGTTAAGAGGAGGCTACAGACAAAAACCCAATTTTCTTTATTACACCACGTAACTCTCCAATGTCGATTGCCTATTTAACTCATCGTTGTTGGTCGCATACACGAGGCTATGTTTCTCTCGTAGAAAAAACGGCGAGGCTTTTTTATGATCATAAATATAAAATATGTATATATATATATATATATAATATATATATAATGTTCCCTATGATATAAACCCCTTTTATGAAAGGAAAGGAAAATATGACTTAGACAGACGTGGGTTTTCGTCGACGCGTGCCTGGCTCAGCAAGGTTGTCTGCCTCTCCTTCGGCTGGGTCTCGGTCACAACGTAGTAGGTTACAAGGCCCACTGCCGCCATGGCCAACATACTCCCAACAATAGCCAAACTGGTGATCTTCCGATTGAATTCCACCATGGTACCCGTGCAGTTACTACCACAACCACTGTAGCTCTCGACTGGACGATGTAGGACACTTTCACTCGTCTCACTTCGATGCCTACTCGCCGCTGACCATTGTGCGCGCCTTTTGTGACCTGAGGAGGATAAGAATCATGTTTTCTAAGGTCGTCTCCTAACGGGAATTTCCTTCTGACCCAGTTCTATCTATTCCTTAAAGTATTGTCATTACCCGTATAACGTCACGTCTCCCGTTTCCTAGCGGATGTGCGCTTCGTTATATATCTGCCTTCCCACTCCCTCATTTTATTTCGCACCCTGAGTCATCCGTACATCCGTGTCGTAATCGTTTCCAGGGATCTGGTTCTGCAGAACTCTTGCCAACTGTGGCCAATGGTGGCATTCCAACAGTATAGAGGCGTAAATTTTCCCCGTCCCTGTAGTTGGCCCATATAACGATATATGAGCAAGAATTGCACGTCCTTTGCGTAATGAACCCCCACTTTTTAGAGGCGGCGATTTATACGGATTTAAGAGCTCGAACGTTCCTCCAAACTTTTGAGGCTCAAAAGTCAGGCTGGTTTTAGAAGCCGGACGTGTAGGAGAGGGAGGGACGGGGTGGGTTTGGTCTGGCACTTCTGAAAAGTGCTTAGTGTTCCCCCAGAGAAAGTTTTTTTTTGTCCCTGAGAACCTTTGTGCGGATGTTGGCACGCGCCATTTACTCGGTCTAAGTATACTTTTCGATCATGATCGAAATATCATAATAACTCGATTATGATAACTCGATCTGGGTCTAAGTATTGAACCCAAATATCATAACTCGATCATCATAACTTCGATGATAACTGACGTCACGCTGCCATAGACCCCCCTGTCGTCTGTCGTCAAAGATGGCTCCTTACTAAACTTCAATTATCCCATGTGTCTTTCACTTGGAATTTACTCCATTGTATATTTCTCATTTTACCACCTCGACTGTTTGGAGACATAGCGCAGCAGTTACCAACAGAGACCTCGTGTCTTTCTTGTGAAAAAGGATTGAAAGATGGAGGAGAGTTGTGATGGTCCTAGGCCTTGTGTAAGGCGTTTTTACTCGATTGATGAAACGACAGCTGTTATTAGAATATGGGGTGACAAGCATACCCAAGCATTGTTCGAATCGAAACTTGGAAATGTGAGGAACAAAGCCATCTGGATATCCGATCTTTGGTTGTGATGGCCAGGAAAGGGCCAGAGATGACTGGATTTGTCGGTGGTAAAGTTAAATGTCGCTGTCAATTACAATCGGTCTAAGTATGAAAATTTGATCAGTTATAGGGGTCCGGGAGGACAATTGAGTTATGATGATCGAGCTATCAGTTATTTGGGTCTAAGTATGGTTTTCGATCATGATCGAGTTATTATGATATGTCGATCATGATCAAAAAGTATACTTAGACCGGGTAGATCGAATTTCCATACTTAGACCGAAATCGTAATTGAGAGCGACATCTAACTTTACCACCGACAAATCCAGTCATCTCTGGCCCTTTTCCTGACCATCACAACCAAAGATCGGATATCCAGATGACTTTGTTCCTCACATTTCCAGTTTCGATTCGAACACCACAGCGGATTTTATAAAGCGTCAAACAGGACGCTTTTTTGCGCCACCCGATATGTATGGGTGGATCTCTCGTGAGTATACTAGTGTGGGTAGAAGAGAAAATTGATTCTAGGCCTACATTCATGCGGTAGGCGATGATCGGTGAATTATTCCTCGATCAGGAAAAGAAACCCCATCATGCCGCATAACTTATTCGAATGATCCCAGTTCTGACTTATTTGTTCCACTAAAGGGAATTCACAGCGGAGAATCAGATAGGTTATACTCGAAGCCTTGCATTTAATATTTGCGTATATTTATAAATATGGTCCTTTTAACTAAGGTAAGTGCTTCTCGAGAAATTAGTAAATCGTACGCTTTTCAAAATTTTAACTCCCCCCTTCTCTCCCTTCCTCCCCTTGGATCCGCCATTGCATATACAGTAGGCTAAACCCTCATCCGGGCAAGCTTTTTTACAACCTATTCTGGGCAAGGTGAGTCTGTCAGACTCATGTAAAATAAGGTCGTTTGCTGCGGTTACGGTATGTATTCTTATAAATAACAGTACTGTAACTAAAATAATACAGACAATTTATTCAATGGTCCTGATAGTTTAAAAAAATAATGACAGTAATAGACCNCTCATGTAAAATAAGGTCGTTTGCTGCGGTTACGGTATGTATTCTTATAAATAACAGTACTGTAACTAAAATAATACAGACAATTTATTCAATGGTCCTGATAGTTTAAAAAAATAATGACAGTAATAGACCAAAATATGTCGTAGTGAGTCCAGCGGACTCACCTTGCCCGGATTAGGGTTAATGGTGGTTATAATGCTGCATAACGGCTTGCATGCAATTCCTTGTGAAGTAAGCCATACATTATTCAATTACTTATACCATGTTTTGAAAGGCTGTATATGTTAATATGCTGTACACTTATGGAACTGTAGGACATGAAAACAAGTAAGACACTCTGAGGCTTTAGGCTTCTACACAATCAGGCCATTTTCATGATTCCCAATATGAAGTACACATTAACCCTTCTCCGGTTTGTTTCTCTCAGGGAATTTTTATGAGCACGCATAGCTCTGAGAAAATTGCCTGGTATTCTTTGCTCGTTCATTTACTTGAAAATATTTTGGCGTGAATCAAATGTGGAGAGAGCAGAGAATGTTTTCTTGTAAAATTTAAGCATCTTGCTCATCAATCTAAAGGTACAGAAGCCGTTTTCTTGGTTGATGTTAGAAGAAAAACATGTGGCAACAGGTTTTAATAGTCTTTTCCTGGGTTTTAAAGATGGAGGGACAGGTCTTTCATGCATTTATGTGTAGGGGGATCTGAGTCCTTTATTATTGAGTCAATATGAAAATGATAAGAAATTAGGCTGGACTATATGAGTTGAAAATACATAAAAAATCCCAAGCGTGCCGTAAATAGAGACCTTCAAGTCTCTGCCATCGAGAAAGGCTTTGATTACTTCTATGACTCATAACAGGAGACAGAGTGCAGTGGTGGGCTCTTTCGTGAAGAGCCAATCACATGAAGGTATTCGGCATGGGATGTACAGTTAACATTTTTCCCAAGTTCTTATGTTTTCTACATGACATCATTCCTTTATTTTGTAACACAGACAGTTTAAACTTCAAAATCGTGTTACTGTACTTTCTAACTCATATTTTAGCCCCTTCTAGCATATATGAAGCTCATTCTACATTTCATTCCGGAGATCTAAGCCATTATGTCATGACATTTTTGTCAGATTTCTCTATGGCAAATCGGTTATGGGTAAAACCAATCATAAGTGGCAGGGATGTGAAGAAACTGCTGTGATTTTACTTTCATTTTCTTCTTCCCTGATTGGAAGTACTGACAGATCCTGATTAATGGCACAACTTGACAGTTCTGACTGAGAAAATTTTGTACAACTTGAAATTGATATTGACATATTTGTTCACTTAGTCTAATGTGTTTCATTTTCAGAGCATTAGTTGAATGGTTTTTGTATTTTCACAGAAGTAACAAATGTAGTGTTAATTCTCAACTTAATTCCAGAAGTCATTTTTTACATTTGGGAGAGACTTGCATGAGTACCATGATTTCATGTATGTTCCATACCTCATCTGGTCATGTATCTTATCAGGTTTGACATATATGCCTCACCATATACTACAGGGAACCCAGTAGAAAACCAAAGGATTGCAATTAGCATGCCTTTAACAACGAAATGATGTTTTCTATCGACAAGTATAAATCTATATTTATGCTGCTTGATTGTGATTTGTTGTTTTCATAAATGAATGTAAATAATAAAATGTATATTTCTATTTCAGATTGGATTCATTAATACCCATGGCTTTGTGAATAATCTTTTAATTCTTGAATAAATCCTTCATAAAAAATAAATCCTTTGGTTTTCTATTGGGCACCCTGTAGATAAACATGTTAAATCATACAAGTTTCTAATCTGCTCCACCGTGTCTTTAACATACATGCTTTTTACAAAATTCTTATATGGCCTTGCCATATATGATCATATACTCATTGTTTCAATAGCAATATATGATCAGATATATATTCCCAAATATGTTCATATATCATATATGATAGACCATATATCTCCTATATATCATATATGCCCATTTCTTATAAAATCATGTGTGATTTTTCTGTATGGGTTCACATTCATTACTTGATGCTGAAATGCTGGTAGCCTAAAACTGAGAAAAAGAGGAACAAATAAGTTATTTCCTCACTTGAACTGGATCCTCCAGAACACCAGAGCAAATAGGACAGATGAGTTCTTCATCAACTTCTCCCTGGAACCTTCCCACATCAAATCCCATTGCCTCTGAAAGGTTTCCTTTGCTGTGAATCTTGAACCATGATATAATTATTGGTACTAGTTATTCCCAGGTGGGCATCAACTTCAACTGAAAAGCAGCAAACCCTTCATCTGTCCAGGGTGGCTAGATCTATCCTTAATTAGACTATGCCACCTGATGCCTACTGTGAGGCCTTGGTCTACCTATGCAAGAGTTAGGACAAGAAGTCAAGATGATCTTAATCAATGACTATACTAATATACTTGACCACTGATGAGGGACTTACAACCCCAGCAGATCCTACAGGGAGGGAAATTTGAGGCATTGTCTATAATATGCACACTGATGTATAAGGACAGTATAGGACTTAGTCCTATGCTATCTTTGTGTGCTCACTGCAATATCTAGTGGTAGAGTGCTTTTGCAATAATCTCACACATCATTTTAATACAATCCTTTTTTTTCAATGGGTCTTCCAACAGTAGCAGAACTGACATCTGCTATTTCAATGTCCTTGGCTAATTCAGTGACTTAAGCTGAAATTAAGTCATTCCCACTTCTAGCACAGTAGGAAGGGAACCAATCAATTGAAAATCACTGTATGACTCCTCACATTCACTTTTTCAGCATAAGTGCCCTTCATCATATGCAAAAATTATGAATACATCTTAACCCTTATCCAGGCATGGGGAGTCTGTTGAATCCCCAAGTCTTTCTTATATTTGTTTCTGAGTTAACGTCATCAACATTAATTTTGCATTACTTTTCAAATCTAAATAAATCAATAAAGGAAGGACTTGGCTTTCAGATAAACATGTTTCAGACCTATCTTTTCACACTGTATACTTTAATTAATAGGGGGTTCAATGGACCCCCTGTGCCCAGTTAAATTTGTCTCTGACCTTGTCCAGATAAGGGTTAACTGGTATGAGTGCCATGTCAGACATAGTTCAGGAATTGGGATGCCATAGGTCGAAGGAGCACAAGGGGAAGATGGGTTCGTTGAGCAAAGGGGTCAGAGGAAGCCGCTACTGTAAGTGGCTTCAACAATGTTTAGCTGCAAAGACTGAAAACCGGAATATTTCCACTTAAAAATGGCACTAGAGCCGGTATTGCCTAGGTAAAACCGAGATACCTGGTTCCCTAACTTAAGCCACTAATTCGATTAAAAACAGTTGTGAGACAGCGCGAAACACCAGTGGACCTATATGGAGCAGCCATGTTGTAACAAAGAAGTGCATCTGCTATTCGGGCAGGCCCGCTTGGTGACTACAGCAAGCAGACAGGGTTCCCACTTGTCCAGAACCAGGTCACCATGGAATCGGAGGATATCACGACCGCATTCTTTGTCCAGCCACGAAAATTGTATTTCTTTATTCTCGTTGCAGCCTGGGTGATGCACAGCGCTCGATCATTCCCGGTTTTTTTTTGCTTTTTTGCATGTAAATTTGGCTGCAATGATTGCCGTGTGGAGGTTTTGGATTGAAAGTTATTTTGGTCTTACTGTCAGTTCCCTCCTGATTCCTATCATGTCTGTGACTAGGTGGCCAAAGTGAAGCCTGGGCCCACGTTACGTAGCGAAGTTGGGGGTGGCCAATCTGGTGGTTATTCAAATTTTATGTATAAATGAATACCCTAAATAAGAGAAACAGGGTAAAAGCAGGTGTGAGAAGAGGAAACTTAAACAAAAGAAGCAAAAGCGCTTTGTAAGACCGAGTAGATCTAGATAGGTTGATGGGAAGCACTAAGATGTGGCAACGAACGCTCGACCAAGACAGGAAGATGTGGGAGATGAGAGAGAGCAAAACAAACTAGTGAGTGCAAATGGACAAATAAATAGCCACCAGTGATATATAGGATATCCCAGGCCACTCTTGTGTCTCAAGCTCCTATATACCCTTTATAACGTTCTTATCTCCCCTCATGTCTACTTTTTCAGGGCCCCACTTTACTTGCACATATAACACCCAACCAGAGTGGTTTATAACTGCTCCAAACCCTGTTGAATTGCATTAAAGAAAATTGAGAATGGGAGTAGGGATCGAGTATGGTATGGAACTTTGATATTTGAATTTAACCCTTCAAGCGCTGAGTTTTGACTTGACCTCCTAAATGATGAACATATGGTGTACGTGAAAATGGCATGAAGGGTTAACCCATTCAGCAGCAGCCATCTCTTGCTTTCTAAGGAGGGGTAAGTAACAGCTGTAATGATTTGGATGTAACTGGATCTGAAGCAGCCCTGGACATGGCCATGAATAAAAATTGGATGGAGGACTGGCATCAATATTTGTATGCATGAAAGTTTTATGCTTAGGCATCCCAATAAATGTGAAGGGTTGCCTTGAACCGCTTGGGTTGGAACAGTCATTGTAAATTTTCAGGTTCCCATGAGATATTTTGATACTGTTATAATGTGCTTATTCTACTGCTCAACTCTTGGATGAGGGCGTTCTACCTGTGTTCTACAGCAACTAGGCCTAAGACAATCTAGACATTATCTCTGACAGTGACAGGCAGAACAAATAAAAGAAAAAAAAAGGCTATAAACCAAGTAAAAACCCCACATCTATCAGAAACATGCTTGTGAGGTCCAAGTCTTAGTTTGCAAGGAAAGCAGTATTGATTCATAACAGAAGTCATGGTTTTGTATATAATGAGCCAAAAAAGGAGCCACTGAAGTCTACCCCCCCCCCCAAAAAAAAAAAATAGAATATAAATAATTATCCCACATTACTAGCTGTTGTTAGGCCTGTGATAGATGGGGAAATGGCCCTTTTCTTTAACCCCTTGCACCATGGTGGGTGATGTATTTGACACTATTTTAGCAAGCTTCTTTATTAATAGGAAAACTGTTCCTCTATCATAACTTTGGCAATATTGGACACTGATATAGTAACAATATGATCAGCTTAAGAACACCAAATATGGTCATCTGGGAGCTAACTAAAACTGCATTAAGTTTCATGTCACTTCTAAAAAAACAAACACATGGTGGAATATACAGTGTATGGCAAAAAAAATGACAAACAACTTTCAACCTAAATATCTCCCCTCACAATAGAGCTATTTTTGCAAAACTTTCACTTTGCACAAATTTTCAACTGATACTTCAAATTTCACCAAAATTTATTGTGCCAAAGCAATTCTATTGGCAATTATTGAAGAGAAGTTAGACATTGATATTGGACAAGAGCTCCTGCAGGTAGTGGAGTAGAGAACACACTCGAGCACTGTCCCTACTGCTCATCAAGACCACATGAAACTCCACTTCCATTTAAATTCATTCATGAGGCTGGTTATTTCTTGCAGATTGTTTTCATGAGCTTATTCCCAACCAATAGTAGATGAATCAATGAATATCAATCCAGAGAGCTTTCTTAATGTTCTTTTAGAATTTCTCTTGTTTTGTCAGTCTGAGTCTGCAGGGTATGACAGAAAAGATCAACAACTTTGAGTTTATCATGTTTGCCACCCAAATCACTGAGGATGTAGCATGGTTTCATTTATTTGAAAATCAAAGAGGCTGCAAAACATTAATTCAGGTCAAAGTTACAAACGATATATTATATATGATGAGACTGGAATTTGAAGTAGACTGTACCCTATAATAATAATTAAAAAAACAAAATAATTAAATATAATATTCCTTATAATAATAATTTAAAAAATTCTGAATGGACTCTGAGGAAAGTCTCTGGATTGATATTCATTGATTCTTCTACTATTGGTTGGGAATAAGCTCATGAAAGCCATCTGCAAGAGGCAACCAGCCCAATGAGTGAATTTAAATGGAAGAGGAGCTCGACATGATCTCGAGGACCAGGAGGGATGGGGCTTGAGTGTGTCCTCCACTCCACTAACTGCAGGAACTCCTGTCCATTCTCAATGTCTAACTTCTTTTCAATATTTGCTGATAGAATTGTTTTGGCACAACAAATTTGGGTGAAGTTTGAGATATCAGTTGGAAACATACTCATATATGCAAAGTGAAAGTTTTGTGAAAGTAGCTCTATTGTGAGGGGGGATATTTAGGTTGAAGTTGTCAGTCATTTTTTTGTCATACCCTGTATATACATATTTAAATGAAGTGAAAAACAATGGCATTTTTTCTATTTCTTAATGGATGGTTTCCATGAATATCTTTTGCTCATGCATCATGCAGCTATTTGGGATACACTCAAATCTCTGTTTTCCCATTCGATCCTACCTTTTATCCCCCTTTGTGATCTATAGCCTCTATTTTGTGATGAACCTCTATTTCTTCAAGACCAACCTGATGAGAACAATACATCTTGTATGCAAGTGATTAAAAGTGACTATCATGATTCAGAAGTTAGTTATTAATGACACTGATTGCCTTACTCTTGAATGGGTGGAAGCCATCTGAAGTGAGTGGTAATCTTCATTGGAACTTGTGCCATGGGAAGCAGAAGGGAAAGACATGACTCACACCGTCGCATGATTGCAACGACCTTCCTCAGCAATGTCTCACTGGATGGTTCACATCATGATACCAAGTTACATTTCATTGCTTCCAAACGAGGTATTGGCCTCTTCAAACCTGGTTTTGAAGATAAACATGCACCAGCTCATCACTATTCCATTGATGGACACAAAACCCATTATGAGAGGCTTTCTGCCAATGAAAGCATGGCAGGAATTGATGAACTTGCTCCATATGATGGTGCTGAAGCATTGGATAGAACAAGTAAGAAAGGAGGCATTTGTTCTGTTGCCCAGGGGGGCATTGCCAGTCATCCCAAGAACATAGATGAAAACCACCATGCACCTGAACCCTCTAGTCACCTCACTCTGATTGAAAATAATCATTCTGATCAAAGACCTCAAGAGCAGATGGATAGTACTAATAGCAAATTTCTTGACATCCCTTCGGTTTCCATGGGTTCACCAAAGATGCCCTCAAGTTCTGAGACTGATCAAGGCACCAATGAAGCACCAGTATATACCAGAAAAAGGCAATTTCTTTTGCTTGGCTTCTACCTCTATGAGTTGATTCCTGTCTCTCCATTATATTGAAAGGTCTTTTCACTGTTATTTTACTATAAGGTCTAAGAGAAGAGGGGAGACATCCTGGCTAGCTGGTGGACTATCAATACTGAAGCGCCATGGAACTGAGGAGAAAAATCCAAATTGGTCCAGTTCTGAATCTCTTCATTCAAACAAAGGTGAGCCATCATTTTGCTTGATGAAAAGCTTTTAAAAAGTCAAGAACTGATGTGTTCAGCACTATATTAGGCTGTTGAGAAGAAGTCGTTCAAAACTGTTCTTACCTGAATTACTTTGTGATGGGCTCTAACTTAATGTGTTATGAAGACCCAAGAAATCATTCTTGACAAAATTGGTACAATGGCCATGAGACTGCTGTATGGTTACTTTAAATGTGCTATAAAAATAATAAAAGATAAGGAGGTAAAAAAGGAATGCAACAATTTTGCTTTTGGCTCTTGGAGCCTTCTCTGGGAAACAAAGGAGCACCTTCAGAAGCAAGGTAGGAGGAGGAGAAAGTGAAAAATGTCAAAGCTTGACAAGAAAGTAGATGTTTTCATGAGAAAGGCATGTTACAAGGTTTAGTTTTTCAAGAAGCAACAGGAATCATGAACTGAATCCTCTCAAAATTCACACTGTAACCTGGAAAATTGTCCCCATGCTCTCTTTGTTCCATGATGAAGACAGCAAGAGCTTCAAGACCCAAAAGTTGCTATAGTTTCAACATAGAAAGAGATTGACACGATCATCTTTACATGTTTTCATTGATGCCCACATGTATCCCCATGTGAAAATTCCATGTATGACAGGGTGTATGATTCTATATGGTCATGTATGATCATATATTTGTCATATGCTGCCGTATATGTATTCATAGATTTAAAATTGTATGGTGTATAATATATTTTACCTGCATTGCAATATTAAGTATGATGGGCAAATAGCATCATGCCTGATATGTGGTGAATATCCATAGACAAGTCTTATGGTTGTAAGTAAAACATAGCATGAAGTTGGTGGTGCATTTTGGCTAAAGAGTCAGGGGGGACAGGGCAGTAGAGTGGGGGCACCAAACCCTGTCCCAGGGATGCCAGGGGTGGGGTGGCAACCCCCCTGCCCCTCCCTGGAAAATATGCCACTACATGAGGTTGTTACACATGAGGGCAATTGACCTTCAGATGCCTCTGCAACTAATTTTTAATGCACCCATTACATTTTACTTAAAGTATTAGCTATGTATAACCTTTAAAGTAATTTGCCAAAATTTTTCTTTTGAACCCCCCCCAGCTTAAAATCCTAGTTGGAAACAGCTATAATTTCCAGCTGGGTAGCAGCTGGAAAGTAAAGTCAGATCCAGGTTGCAATTGCAATACACTGGTGGAATGAGAATGCTTTTGTTGGCTATTCTTGCTGGAGGTCCATCTACAGAAGCAGCTGATTTTCAACTCTAAATTCAGCTGTACTCCAAATGAAGGGTCCTCTGTATAAAATTCTAACTGTAAATTTCCAGCTGTAAAACCACCTGTAATCTGCCATTTTTCTGCTCTTTGCCACCTGGAAATGGTCTGAATATACAGCTTCTGTCCAGCTGGAACATTCCAGTCATGGTTTCAAACTGGGCCCTACCCTCTCTAGGTAGCATAAGCATATCACGGATGAAAAAAGTGTAGGAGGAGGGGGGGGCCACAGGAACTCTGGGACACTGTTATCATGCATTTCATGCATCTTTTCCTTCGTATTAATGCATTTTTTTATGTTAAGGGGGGGGGGGGGGCACATGCCGTGCCATGCCTTCATTGAACGATTCCTTCATTAGATTATTTCAGGAAGATATTGGTTTTTTCCCCATCTATCTTGTGAGTTGTCAGTCAAAATGAAGAAGACATTCCTACCTGAATAAGCCAAGTTTTGTCATGAAATAGCATTACTGATGAATTTACTTTTGAAGGTTAAAGTCTATAATATTGAAACTTTCACCTTCATTAACAAGGGTGCGTATGTTGAACACCGTGAAACATGAGTTTTCGGAGTAATTAACTGTGGTCTATGAACAATTAAAAATGAGTTGATTGCAAGTAAGGTATGGTGACTTGCATATGAATGATCATACAGTATTTGATGGATTATGGACCCTTTTTGGATACAGACATGTTTCAGGTAATCTCACCATCCATGGATATGACATGGCATATATGGACAGTATATGGTGCATTTGTATGAGCCAATATATGAAAATGTATGGGGTCATATATTTTTATTCTTATATGATTTTATGTGACTTGTGTCAAACCCCATACATGTTTCACGTATATTCATGTAAGTATTGCACTATATGGTCATATATGCCCCATGCATGTTGGACTGGTTTAATATATATGGCCATTTCATATATGGACTTATATGAAAATTTCATGTGGGTCTACATGGAGAATTACATGAATTCACACATTTACAGTTATGTTTATTTACTTGTAGGATTGTTATTATCATGAATTCATTGCATTTTTATTAGGCAATTGTTCCTCAATCAGAAAGAATGAAACCAATAAATGTAAATGGAGATCAGTGCTTTGAAAAACTTAATTTTTCATTGTTTTTTGCATAAATCTATTTTTAACAAATCAAGTTTGCTTGCTTTCCAAATTCTTTTGATTTTGGGAAGCCTTTGGAGATATGATGATGCAAAATGCCCTCCAGAGTCAAACTCAAAGTCTCATGAAGCCTTTCCACGTTTGATGGTCCTTTTTATTCAGGAAATCCACACATTTGAGTAAAGTAGTGATAATATTATGACATGAAACCAAAAAGTCTTCCTCTTGATCAGTATGATGAAAGGCACCAATTTGGTTATTTTCAACCCCTCTCAGCTGCTTGGAAGAAGGATACAAGCATTTCTTGAGCAGCCATTGTGTGTTAGGTTTTCTTAACCAATAACATGTTTTTCATACAGTCCTGGGCCAGCCCTCATATGTTGTCAGGTATTATAACATAATTCTCTTCGAATGTTGAGCTAATAAACCTCAAGTATTTTTTTATAATCAATTTCACTTCCATTTGAATATTTATTGCACTGGAAGGTGGCAGATTTGGCAGACACTCCAGCATCTTATCTGAATCCAGTGCTGGGAAGGATCGCCGTTCCATTCGTTTCTTTCAAGCAAAAGACTGCCGAAATAAGGATGGTGGGATAGGTGAGAGTCGCTTCATCATACTCACTTCCACCATGGTTCCATTCTACATCTCTTCTACTCTTTCTCTGCATCAAAAATCAAGGTAGCCCTTCACATTCCTGGAACAGTATGACTGAGATTTTTGTAGTAAGTCAGTAGATTCTGATTTCCTTTGCAGCAAAGGAGGCTCTTGTAGCAGTGGAGAAGGGAGGGAAAAAAAGCGAGGATACTCTGGCCTTCCTCCCATTTCTGATTCAGAGTCTGTCAGCCTATGGATGCTTCTACTCTCTGATGATGATGTGGTCAGTTTGACTTGATTCAGGACTATTTATGATTTCTTGATAGAATTCCATAATTTTTCTTTTAGTGCTTTGTCCAAACATGCAGGAAATTGGGTGTATTTGTGGTAGATCTAGAACAGTGGTGTCCAACTGGCGGCCCATGGGCCGGATCTGTTCACTATTCACTAGTTCACTATTTCACTTGTTCACATTAAAGATGTGGTGTATATGGTGTGAGATTCGTTAGTGAGGCCCCCAAACACACCTGAACCAAATCATTTGATCCCTGCCAAATTGAGTTGGACACCCCTGATCTAGAAGGATGGCCAGGCAAGTAAAGTTGAGGACAAAATAAATTATAGAGAAGCTCTTTTAATGAGACCTGTTCCCTGAGACTGTCCATGTCTCAGTTTTTAAGTCTAGAAAGGAAAAAAAAATTATTTTTCTCTCTACAAGAGGCAGTCATCCTCCTGTAAGATTTTCTTGTAGCAAGTTCAAATATCTGGACTTGCTTGCACTAGTGCAGCATTTCTCAAACTCACTTGAATGTCAACTCACCTGTCAACTTAAAAAAAATTTTTGCAACCCACTGAAATTCAGAATGAGGAATTGAAGGAAAATTAAGGGGTGAAGAACTCATTGACCTGTTCTAAGATGTTACTTTTATTTGTTGCTTGTGAAAAAAATGTGGCTAGCCTTGACAAGGATGGTTGCTTCAGGATGGAATCTTTCCACATAAGCATATATCATACTTTTTTTTCACAATGGGAGATTTCTTGCAACCTGCAATTTGTGAGCAACTGCACTAGTATGGAGTGCATTCCCTGGTATTTCAAAGTAATACACTCCATTTCATTTTTTTTTTTAAATGCACTGGAGGACATGGTTGGTTTTTGAGTACATTGAGTGCTCAGGATAGAGTCTTCTGCATGACAAAAAGAGTGACAAGAAGTCTGGAGCAAACTTTTGTAGTCTCAGTAACTGTGTACTTGAAGTTGATTTGTGGTAACCCTGAATGATCTTTCACAGGATATTGATTGTGATCTTGAATGGTTATCTTTCATGGAATCTCTGGGGTAGACTTTTGTAAATTTATGGAATTCATTTAAGGAGGCTTACTTTTTTTTTTGCTCCCTTCATGATCCTTATTAGCCTCTAGGAAGAGCTACAAGTTTATGTTCCACCCTGAGCTCTCTGAAACTTGGCAATCTTTAAGTTTAAGGCAGCCAGTCAAGTCACACTTAATGTACATTGTCTGCACTACCATCTGGGCCGAGTGCAGGTTGTGCAGATGTGTCCTGGCTAGCCTACATCTGACAGAATCAGGTATCCAGCCTATATGGAAGTGTTTCAATGAGGGATGCACCAGTTCATGCAAAGTAACTCCCCCCTCCCCCTTCCCCATCCTGCAAAGCACTGGACAGGAGGGACCTGCTGAGACTTTCTATTAGATTTTTAAGGCAAAAACATCAAGATTAGTGCCTAGTTTATGAATGGTGCCATGCTGTAGACCAGGGGTGCTCAAAGATTTCAGTTATTGGGGCTGCATGCCCCATGTAACTGGTGATTTGCTTAGCATACAGAGGTTGAGTTGGTTGCTTTCTTGGGGAGGGCAAACTTCATTGCATTATCTTATATAGCCTTGATATTTCATCTGGGGTTCTGCATATTCAATGATACATGTTTTGAAATGATATTGTTTAAATTTTTTGATTCACTTGTGTTGATGTGATGAGACTGACCTTTCCTCCTTAGGACCTCTCCTTCAGAAAATTCCTGGCTCCATCTCAACACATGCGTGAATTGAGACGAGAGAAGCCAAGTGGTGATGGGGAGCAAGGTAGCGGGCGACAGGAAAGCTTGATACACCCTCCAGTTGTTGATTTGCCTGCCAGTCTCAGTCCTGCTTCTTCATCTGCTGACATATGTAAGCTCTATTATCTTCCCCCTTCTGTTCTAGAAAATGTTAACATATGACATTGATGCTGATTCAATCAAGTTTCTACACATTGACTTCAGATATTATGCCTACTGCCTCCAGTCTCTTATATTTCAAACTTTGCTCTCTGTGTTTTCCTTTATTTTTGTTGGAAGATGAAAAAACAATTCATATGCTACCTTGTTTGAATGATTTGTCACATTTTGAAATTTTAGAAATGGGTATTGCCTCCTCTCGAAGGGAATGCTGAAGGTCATAAATACATTGTTATGTATCTCTTTAACCCTCTTTGTGCCACAGGTTGAAATATCAGTTGCAAAATTTTCTTTCTGCTGGTTCCTAACAGGACTGACAGGACAATGTGTGGCATATTTAGTAAAATGCTACATTTTCAGGGAAAAGATGCATGGGACTTTTCAAACATCCCTTGCCGGAAAGCATGGCACTTAGAGGGTTTAAGGAGTAGTGTATCAGTAACTGAACTACCTTTAGCCTTACATTGTATGATGTGTCTATGATTTTCAACCACTGGTGCAAGTGATAGTACTAATACTCCTGCCTTTTGTTCATTGTATGGGTCAAAGATAAAACATTGCTATCAATCACTTGAACGAGATATGTTCTTGAAAAATGTGGCTCTGTAGACTAGCTATGAATTGTTCACTATTTCACATGATTCTTGTACACATTCAAGATTGACTGTTTTCATATTGCATCTTCATTGTACAGTCAAGGTCTTGGTCTGGTGATCTGGTACAGTTGACTGAAAAGGGCGAAAACCACTGTACTATGGTCCAAGTGTGTCATGTACAATGTTTTCCTTGAAGATCTCCCATATATCTCCTGCAGAAAAGCATGTGTAGGCCTTTAGCAGTTCAATGTGCTAGTTGTCTTTGGACATCTTGCACTTTTTGACTGTAATTAACTTCTGTAGACATTGAGTAGTGAAGTGTTTCTAGGGGACAACATCTCAGCACCTGCTCCAACAACCATATTTTCCAGTGGTACCCTAGGGTGGGGTAGGGTAGTGTTACCCCCATTGAAGATAATTGGGTTTTGTTGGGTACCACAGTGGGAATGAGTATTTTAGGATATTTAAGATGTGTTCTCTTTGGGGCCATTCCAGTCATTGTGCATCTGACATCAACTGAAGATGACAACACCTATTGAGAGTCAATAATGGCAGCACTCAGTGGCTTATATGGTTTCTGAGGGAACAGACTAAGGCAGTATTTATCATCCAGAGTATAGATTAGGAAGCAGCTGGGTGTCATTACAGATGCCATCACATGGGCTGCATAGATACAATTATGGCAATCAGAGTATCCAGAGGGATGGAATTACCTCTAAAATATCACTTCAGGTGCAAAGACATTAAACATTAGATTCTCATATGAGTCCCCACTTCAATTACAGACTCCCTTTATGTTGCATCCAAAGCTAAGAAACATCTTTTAAGTTTACACTCCGATTGTCTGTCCCCTCCTGCCTTTTACACTACCAGAATGCCAAAAACAAATACTTTGTACTTTTTCCAGCTGTGATATTACATCATCCCATCTGGTGGAAAATACCCAAAGCTTGTTGCTATCACCCACAAACACAGATGTTGTCCTTGGTATTGAAGTCATATATGACAGGGGAGCCATTTTATGTACAGAATTCTCACATGTCATATAAGACAGGGGCTGCCTGAAGGGTTTGATCAAAAGGATGCAGTCAAATAGTGAAGCAGAAAGTAGATTCAGGCAAAAAGCCAAAAGAGAAAAAAGGGGAGGGAGAGGAGTTGAGCAGAGGTAAGTGTATTTCAATTGGGCTGGATAGAATCCCAGCTGTTAACTTGTTCTTTGCAGATAAAAGTCTAATAGACATACAGAAATTTTCATATAAATTTTTCTTGTCGTGTTAATTTCAAGATACTGCATCTTGCTTGCAGGTGCTGCTGTTGATCTTGTGGAAGAATGGAGTCGAATGGATATTGTATATACCCCCAATGTCCTTGATGACCCTGAATTGATTGCAGGACGGCACCGTACACTCCTGACATTTGCTTCCTATAGGGTATGATTCTTGATTTTGAAGGAATATGGGGGGTGGGGGATTTGGGGTTTGTAGGATCCCCGTGATTTTAAATTTACTTTTTTTTATGAAGCATATTATGAACAGCAAAATCAACTGTTCCTGTCATCATTGGTCATTGACATCTTGGCAATATCAAATAAAAAATTTAGATAATTTTTTATACATTTTCTATTATTTTTCTATTGCTTTTCACCTTTTCTGGTAAAGATAAAAAACTGAGCTGAATATTTTTATGCCAGTTTTGCTCATTTAATTTCCAGCAATAGGCCTACAGCCACAGGTCCTGTGCTTTGTTCAAGTTTTCATGTTGAGCATTAGAAACCTTGCACTGTGGTCCTTATGATGCATAAAATCACAAATCCTCAGGCTGAAGTCACCTGAGGGGAACAAATGCAGTTGTACAGATTTGCTAAATGGAGGAATGTAAAATGAAGAAAATTTTTAACTGCAAAAGATTTGTACATTTTTGAAAGTCATCTTAAATGCATGGATTAGAGAAGTTGATCATTGCTCCTCTTGGGTGAATAGAATCCCTACCTGTCTAGGTGTCATTCATATAAAGGTGTCTCTACCATCCACATTATTTTAATAGCCTGACTCTGAACTCTTTCCTGAGGGAAATCCCAGAAAAGGTCAAAGAACTTCCAAGGTCTCCTAGTGCAATCCATTGCTTTGTTCCATAGTGAGGAATAGATTTTGGTCAATATAATACTACATTTTGGATTTAGGATCTCAGATACCCCTGTAGTACCTCATGCAATAAATTTCATTTGTGCACCATGCAATAATAGAAGCATTCACTTGTGTATTCCTGACAGACTTCCATCATGGAGTATGCTAGACCATCTGATATCAAATGGGAGCTCAATGAAAAGTTCAGGGAGCGATTTCCATATGTTAGCATCACTTTGAGCAAGTTGAGGAGGTCAGTTTGTCAAAGTTCACCTGCTCTCGTAATCTATTTTTCAATGCCTGCTTTCCATGTTCATTTTGCTTGTGTGAACCTTCAAGTAGCAAGCATGAAAAAAATTAGCATAAGTTTTGAGAATTTCAGTGAGAGGTATTTTTTTCTTGTCATACTTTTGCTGTGTTTCCTGATGAAGCCTGAAAAGAGAGATGCGTCGCATTGCTTACAACAGCTGTCACTTGGAAATGATAGCAGTGGCCCAAGCATATGTGTACTTCGAAAAGCTGATTCTCAAGCGAGTCATCTCAAAGCAGAATCGGAAACTGTGTGCTGGTGCTTGCCTTCTCCTCTCTGCTAAGCTCAACGATGTCAAAGGCCCAGATTTGCATCATCTTATTGAGGTCAGTTGCCAGCACTTGATTCATCCAGGCACTTATCAAGAGAGCCTGTGAAACATCCTGAATAGGCATTTTTACTTACTTCATCTCACCTGCTGTACTTGTGCCTTTTCAGACGGTAGAAAGTAACTTCAGGATACAGAGGAATGATCTCATGAGGACAGAATTTGCTGCATTGGTGGCCCTTGAGTTTGGTCTTCTCCTGCCTCCAAGTGAACTGCTTCCTCATTACCAAAGGCTTCTATACGAGTGCTAGCATTCACAACAAAACCCCCCTTCACCTAGCCTATATCTACCTCATTGCAAAAATAGATGTATTTCCATCAAAGTTCATTGAGATTATTCAAATAGTTAATTTGTGCTATTTGTTCACTGTTCTGTGCAAAGTTGGAAATGATTTACTTATTTGCTTGGTGGTCTGTGACATTTCTTAGAATGTTTTTGTGATCCACTTGTGATGTATTTATTATTTTACAGTATAGATATTTTTCTATACTTGTTCCAAACTCTAGACTTAGGTTGATTCATCTTCTGATGAAGAAAACTTTGAATGAAGTTTAATTTCAGTCTTTCTTTGTTGTGAACTGGTGATATTATTGATAATGGTTCCAAAGAGTTTGACTTTTATAGGAAAGAGCCTGCCGGTTTTACTCATCATGATCTGCTAATATTATCAGGAAAAAAGAGCATATGCAAGATTTGGCAAGTGAATTACGCTTCCAAAAGGAACATTTTCTTTTCAACCCAGCAGGGTAGATCCTCAATCGGCTCCAAGATTAGGTCTGTGTTCATTCGGAGAATAACGCTCCCTACAGGTTATTTGAAGTTAGAGGAAAGGAATCTGCTCCTTACCTGTTTAGGTCGTCTAGCACTGGTTAGTGAAATAGAAGAGAATGGTGTCTCGAAGAAACGCGAGTAAAGAGGATTGTGCGCCTAGATGCCTAGGATTACCCTCATACGTGAGTACTAAAGACCATAGCGGGTCTCATTCTCAGTTTGTGTTAGTAAGTTAAAACCTATTTCAGATGATACGTCAAATTTCATGACTTCGCGTTCACATCCAGAAAAAATGGCGAAGGTTCAGCGATAGACATTATCCACAGGCACTCGCCCTTCCGGCTTTCATCGAACTGCAGAATGCTGCTAAGAAAGCAGGATCAGAGGAAACCAAGGATCCCTTATGTACGAGCGAGCAATCCGCCGATGTAACGTGTCTCGTTTTTTCTCTGAAGCCCTTCGCTTCAGGTCCATTCCTCGAAGAATATTTGACCCGTAAGCTGGCGTCCGCAAAAAGGCCTCCGAGTGGAAACCTGAAAATAGAGGACCCCGCGAAATGGAGAATATTGCGGAAATTGTTTTCCCTTCACCATCACAGGAAACACAAAGCTGGAACTAACCTATATTGGAAACTGGAGGCATTCCGAAAGAGCAACTAAAGGACTGGACGATGATCACCGACAACATAAAATCAATTACAAAATTGAGTACATGAAGTATGTATTCTCAGTTTTCGAAGGGTTCAAACGTCCTGGAACACTCCTGGCTTCTTGCAAGAGAAATATCGAGACGTACGTTTATCCACACCACAAGAAATGACTTTCAATAGACGATTCGGTGGTCCTTGATCGTTCAGGTAGCGAGTTTCGATTGGCTATATAGAGCTATATAACTCTAGAGCCGTTTTATCGTCCCTGACCGTAGTTGTTTCCTTCGGTTGTGACGTTATTTCTGTTGCTGACAAACCTACCGGTCTTGCTTAGCCGGTGGAATTGAGTGAACGAAGATAGGGACGATCAGTGAAGGCATGACAATGTGAATCCATTCTCCATGACAGATTTTTTTGCTGTTGAACAAATTCTCGTTACAGTCACGGTTACGGTCACTAGCGAAGAAGGTACAAGGTGCAGTGGTGTAATTATTTAACCAATAATTAAGCGTATAGATTTTCTTCTCCCCTATGAAAGTGTGTGCAAAATGGGCAAATCCAAAATTTTATTAGAGATGTCACTGAAGTACTGTACATACGAGACAACCCATACGTGGGGTAACGATGGCTTCATGGTTGAGCCCAGTTTATTCTCTTTTGACATGTCAACGCATCGGAGTAGGGAAAAATCTTTGACCATTCAAGAGAAACAAGCCATCCTGAATATGCAAAACGAGGAGAGGACGATTCACGACACGGCGCGGATTTTGTCAGGCTTCGGTTTCAAACGTTCGAAGAGGAAACACGCGAAGGAGATGTAGAAGAGAGGACCAAAGAGGATCCGATTTTCGGCTATCGATTCCTTTGACATTGATGTCATACGTCGGGAAGTACACGCGATGTACGCGGAAACCAAGTACCCGACCCCTTATTAGTGGAGTGAAAGAATCACGGGCTCTAACATGATAACATCATATTTTTTAGTGCTGGAATAAATATTCAGGAGCGTAATTCCGATGAAGATTTGCACCAGTTTAGCAATGAATGACACCAGAACCACTCCCAAGTGTTGGTTGAATTATCACCACAACATTTAAATTCAGTCCTGTTGCGAAGCAAGTGCGTGTTGGCCACTCTCTACAGCAAAGTTGGTCCACAGATTCATAGGGAGTTGCATGGATAGAGATTTTGCCTTGAATAAATTCGTTGTAGGAAGTCCACTGATGAATTTAACCCCTCCCCCTCACAAAATGCCACCTATTTGACATACCTCGTAAGTCTGAGATTGGCAAAAACGTGTGGGCTAAAAGAACTGCCCAGTTTAAAATCCCGGCTGGAAACAGCTATAATTTCCAGCTGGACTCCAGCTGGAAATTCGGATCCATTCCAACTGGGTAACAGATGGAAAGTAGTCATCTCCAGATTTGTTCCTAATTGCTAAATCACTAGCTGAATGAGAATCTTTTTGTTGACTATTTTTGTCAGAGGTCCATCTACAGGAACAGCTGATTTTTAACTGTAAATTTAGCTACATTCCAGCTGTAGGGTCCTCTTTATAAAATTCCAACTGGAAAATTTCCAGCTGGAAACAGCTATTAAAACCAGCTGCATTCCAGTTGGAAAATTCCAGCTAAGAAACAACTGGTACCTACTACAGGGTGGGCCACTTAAAAGTAGCCCGCCTCTGGTCCGAGCGTGGCGGAGGTGGTCGCCCCTTGCACACTGTTCTTACCGACTGTCTGTCTGTCGCAGTATTATAGGAGGCGGGCTACTTTTAAGTGGCCCACCCTGTATTTTCCAGCTCTTTGGCAGCTGGAAATAGTCCGAATTTACAGATTTGGTCCAGCTGAAATATTCCAGCGGGATTTTAAACTGGGTGGACCCATTCCTATTTCCATATATTTAAAGGAATTTTTAAGAATAACACGAGACTTTTCCGTTTGTTTGCATTTAGAGGGCATTTTGTATTTTTCGAAGTTACCTCAAGGGCGATAGAAAAGCGAGGGAACGGAAAGCTCAGAAAAGTGAGTTTTAAAGTTCGAGTTACCCCTCATACACGAATATGCATACATGATGCATGAAACTGAAGCCTCTCATCTGTTCATCGCGTTTTGGCCTATCGTTGCCCCTTCCGAGTGTGCCCGGTCAATATAGCAGCCGAATGTTCAATTGGCCGCTGACAGCCTAAAAATAAAAATATGTGATCAACACGACGGTGGGTTTGATGTCTACATACGGGGGTTTTTGGTGAATTAATCCAGTTTTAATGGCTAAAATGTCTTTGAACGTCTGAAAGTGCGACCAAAAATGACGCTGCCAACCTAAAAATTGAAATCAATGACCAACCCATAGATACGTTAGCGTGTCTAGTGCTTAAATGAGGATATTTTGAGTCACATCGTTCAGTTCTGATGCACACAAAGTATCTGAAAGCGCACCGAAATTCAATACGACCGCCAAATTTAAAAATGGAATCCCTGCTCCCTATTTTACATTAGAGTATGTATAGGATGTTTAAAAAATATATATATATATATATATATTCTCCACTCTTTTTTTAAGGGGAATAGGCTGCACTCACATCCATGAGGAGGGAAAAAGATTCAGGTTTCATTCCGACCTGTGCATACTTTCTTCAAGATAGGCAATTTGTAATAGCAAAGACGAACCAATCTAACTTTCACAATTCGATGTGAATTGTGAATTATTGTTAAATGAGGGATTTACATTTCGATTCCAGATTCATCACCGAAGAATGAGATTTGGTTTGAACAACATGCGAATTATTTCAATTTTACGAGAACTTCAGCTGTTAGGGTACATAAATTCGCATCTTCTGTCGCATTATTTTTTACTCCTGATGCTGGTCTAAACATGTATTGAATCGTGGAATCAGAATTGCATGTTACCTATTAGAGCGCTGCATTTGCGAGTGTCTCCTTATTCCATCCTCGTACCACGTAATTTGGTTTCTTGGACACCGGACAAGAGTTATGATACAACATGGATTCGATTCGATTTGAAATTCATAAGATTCGTTTCGTTACATTACGAATTCTATTTGGTTTGAAATAAAAAAAAATTCCATTCGAGTTTGATTATTCAGTTTCCAAGAGATTCAGTTCTGATTCACGATTTGCTCCAAAATTACCTGAAAATTTAATGTGATTTTGGATGATTCATTTCAAAGCAAAGGTGACTCAAATGTATGGTTAGAATCTCATAAGAGTTTAGTTCCGGTATGCTTGGGAGAAAGAGAACCAGAGGAATGATGGGAATTTCAACGCAAAGCCAATATGAAACCCCCCCCCGTTTTTGCTGGACTCCCTCCAATCTCCTTTTGAAAGACTTGGGTGCCATGCTGAAACGAAGAAGCAGGGATGTTTTGCCAACACCAGATCACAACAAACCCCCCCCCCTGCAGTGAGAGATGCCAAGATTCCGTACGTGTTGGAGGAATGATTTCTTGAGGTACGGGATGCGGAAAGGTCGGGTTGGGTAGGTCGACCCCAATGGAATCTGATCAATTATTTTGAGCTCAGTGCGATGCAGTGGACTTAGTGGATTGTGATTGACCACTATATTATCTATGCCCCTCCATTTGTCAAAAGTGAAGATGTGAAGCACATTTCTGTATAGGGAATGTAACAATTTCTTGGAATGGAAAAAAATCCGGTCTTTCCCCCCCCCCCCCTCTTCCTCCCGGTAAGGACATAAATGGCAGCGAGGGCGAGGCTGACGCTGCTCAAGCTAAAACAAGATCTTTCCCCTACTATTTTAAGAATTTTCAATTGCTTCCTTTTTTGCAGGCGCTCAAGATATACGCCATATATGGATAGTATCATTCATTTTTTAATGATACTGGAGGCGAAGTCTTCATGAAACACTCTCTGGCTTCAGTATTTCCCAGCTTCCAATCCCTGTTTTGCTAAAAGTGATTAGCATGTTTCATAATTACCTCAACAGATACTGACTAGTAGGGGAAGAATCGGCGAGTGAAACTAATCTGTGCGATCGTCGGAATCCGATACGCGAATGGAGTGCATGAAATGGACTGCAGTGTTGCCATGCGTGCCTCTGACACTGACATTAAAAACCACCTGAACCGTTTTCGCGTCCCCCGTGGTACACCTGTTGTATCAAGAGATGAAATCGACCCTATGATGACTTTATTGGTGAAGTGGTGTCAAGGTGACTGGAAGCGCTTTATTGCAGGATGCTCCCCTCCCCCCACAAAAGAAACTGAACTTATTTCGTCAACGTATTGCATTCCATGCACGGATCAATGGACAATATTGTGCTCGATACAATCACCATTCTTCTCCATTGATGGCTCTCAGCTGGTTCAAAGTCTTCGCGGGTTGGGATTGAGGATGCAGGCCACGTTCTTCTTCCCCATATCTCCACAGGAATTAATCAAGTGGAGAATAGCGATAACTGTTCTTTCTTTTTTTGGACCATCGGTTACTAGTGGCATTGTGGGTGATGATCCAACTTCGACTTCCAAGGATTCTTGAGGAACTTGGATCCGCACAAAGGAAACTCACCGTCATGGCCACGAAGACAAGATTCTCTCGGTTGTTCCACTAGCTTACCCCATTACGTTCCGTGATCCCCAAATATTTGCCATTATAATCTGTATGAATGCTCGCCAGGAGCAGACTAAAAATTTATTTTTCAGGTGTATATATTTTATATGCAAATATAGTATTAAAAAGTAATACTATATTTTTAAAAATGTAATTGGCATTTATACTGTCATTCAAACTTACGTCTGTATTATGCTTACGTTAAATTGCTGGGAAATCATTGACATGTGATAGTATTTACAAGGGATTGAGTTATTGTATGCATGTACAGGTATTAAGAAGCAAACTGATCTACAAACCTAATAACAGGCCGGAACACTAAAAAAATATGAAAAAGCCCTCCCTTTTTTCTTATTTTTTTTCTTTTAGAGCTTTTTTTTTTAGCTTTAACTGATGGCCTCACAACAACGCCAGATACGGGCGCGCTCGCTGGCAAACCCAGTTTATGAAGAAAAAAAAAACAACTAAGGAAAAAGGGTTGAACTTTATCGGCAGTTTTGGGGTTCCTTTCTGTAAATAAAATAAATCTTGTGAGACTTTATGGCAAAAACTGATCTCCATTTGGCAATCGCGTGAAGAAAAATATCTAGACACTATTGGCTTAAGGCCATGACAAGCAATTACAACAAAAACATCCTCCATTACTTTGTTTTTGCTTTTTCTCTCCTTTTTGCTCCTTGCTGCTTTTATTATTTCTTTTTTATTTGGAGGATGGCATGGAATTTGAAAATCAAGGTTTCCTAGGTCGAAATTCCTGCAATCTCCCTGTGGTACAGTTCTGCACCTACAAGCTGCATGTGTCAACTGCGCCAAGTAAATAATTTCACGAGTGAGACAACAAGCAGATAGTCCAGATCAGCAACGACGAGTTTTCTGTCAGTTGATATGCCAAGTGCGGAAAGACTTCTTTCCTAATCTGCGCCGGAAGAGATAAGTCGCAAGAAGGAGATAGCTAACGAAAGGGAGAGCATGAGCTCGAATGGGATTTGGTATTGTTCACATAAGCTTGGGAACTCTTCAATCTTCGAGCCACTTCCACTGTCACCGCTTCTTCCGTGTCATTTCGTATGATATCATGGTTCGTGAGAACAGGAAAGGGGAATGTGACTATTGTGCGCCAGGAGGGCTTCTTTCCCTCGTCCCTTCCCCCAGTCCGGTCTAGCGGAGGGGGAAATAGTGGATAGGGTAGTCCCCGGCAGAACGGAGCGCGCCTTTTCCCGTGCCTTTACCCCCCAAATGTGAGTCACCACCACCACTCGGCACTCGGCCACACTCACTCACTGGTGCACAGCCGCATCAGGGCGTCACTCTCATTCCCTGCCTGCTGGCTTGGCTGGCTGTGAAGGAAGGGCAGGGAGGGGAAGAGAAGAGTCAGACCACTCCGCTGTTCCTCAGCGGCTGCATCTCGTTCTGCTTCCCCCTCGCTCTCTCTCACGTGCTCTCCCCTCTCCCCTCGAATGCGCTTTGGAACTAAGAAGGGTAGGTCTTGTGACACGATCACATGTCGTGCTTCAGGAAGTTGCCCTTACTGTAGGCCATTCCAGCGCTAAAACGATCGTGATTCAGTAACACCTTCTTGCCTATGAGGCTCAGCACTCATCCTAAAACTGCGGGATGCTGGGAGCTCTCAGAAGAAAGTGGAAACCGAAGAATAGGTGAGTCTGCCTTACTACCATCAACTCCTTTCATATGAAATCGTGTCGTGAAGGCGGAAGTCGTGGTAAGTTAGAGAGCGTAATACGTATGTAGAGCATAATGCGTATGTCGAAAGTGGGGGGGAGGCATTTCATGCATGCCAGATATCCCCTTCCTCCCGGAAGAGTTGAGAAAGGACAAGAGCCCTTGGCTTTGTTGTGGTCATGATCTTAATAACGCTTCCGTCGTTCAACCTTTCAATTTGACACACTTCAATCGAAGTGACGAAAGCAACCCGCTATTTGCGCACATTGTTTTGGTAGCTCTTATCGAAGCAATAAGGAAGTAATTGGCTTGTACTAATTTTGCTGTATTCTCGTCATTACGCATTCCACGTGGATGAGTTATGTTTTGTTTCCACTATCAACGTGTGATCATGATCGACTGATGGTGAGACCACAACTTGCTCATGAAAACGATGACAATCATCATAATGGATTGTCCAACAATGACGGTGCGTGCGCATTGGCCATACTGATGCTCAAGTCGATGACAGACAGCCTGAGGGAACCTGTACGGGTGAAAACCAAGTGTTGATCTGGAGGGAGATTGAAAACCTTGGTTTTTTTTCCCGTCCGAGTTTTCTGTTGGAGCCGACTTGAGCTCACTACCCTGTATGGTCTCATAGGAATGTAGGCCTATGTCACGTACACCAAGAATGGAATTCGACTATGCCCATCCTGGGATACCGTGCAGGTGCAGCCATCCATCTCCGTTTGATTCATGAAGTCGAGTCGCTTGATGTTTTGCGGAAGCTAACATGCTTGACGCTGTGGTGCGATCTCGAAAGAGGTAGTGTTAAGTTCTGATCATCGTCAGAGATTGATAATGATAGTTGGAGCGAGGCTTCGAGTTTTAAGTCTGTTCTACTTGCTGACGACTTAATGCGCTCCACATTGTTTATCGCTGGGACAGAAACTGGGGTTCAGAATGGGTAGCAGAATAAAATGTTTTCGAAAAATATCGAGTGAAATCTTGTCACCAGTTGGCCAGCCTCGTTGGGTCGACAAACTCCAGTTAGGTGTATCCCAAAACGTGAAAGATTCCAATTTGTTTTGATATAATTCCGGTTCTTATGTCTCTGGAGAAACTCAATGCATAAGATCACCCAGTAACTTCGAGATGAACGGCTTCGTGGCTCCAATTCTATAATCGGCCGAAAACGGACAGGACAGGATGGACGGTTTCAGTCAACGCCAGCCTCCTGTGAGCGTTGGAATATATCGAAGAATTGCGAGAAGATCTTTGCTGGCCGAGAGTCAATCTCAATCTGATCTTGAACATGCACAGCGGTGCTAAGTTTTGGCATCGCAGTCGTGCCGCATTTTCAAAAATCGTCGCTGGAATCCATGGGAAGTAGCAGATATGAACGAAGCAGATATGAGCAGATATTCATGTGAAGTAGCAGATTTGAACGTGTCTTTCCCTCTGATGCAAATTGAAAGTATTTTGCTTCTTTAGTAAACCATTCGGTTTAAAATCCTAAATATAATTTCCACCCGGCAAATCCAGTTGTGAAGCACCTAGATCCAGATTGGTTTCCAGCTGGTTCCGTTTGCTGCTTCCAGCTGGAAAATTCCTACTGGGACTATAAACCAATCTTCCAACTACAATAAGACTGAATTTTCAGCGGTAATTCAGCTGCTTGAATTGCTGGGTTAAAGCTAACGAAACCTTTCTCAATCGGACCTGAAAATTCTAACAGGAAACCACCCTGGATCTTGCTTAATTTTAAAGCTATTTCCAGCAGGGATTCCAAGCTGCCCCCCCCCCCCCTGCCCGTTTATTATCTTTATGTTCCATAAATGGTCCTATATGGAGCAAAAGAGAAAGAAGCCTTGATTGCTCGCATTCTTGAATCATCTCTATTCAGATCATATTAGGGACAAGGCTAATAGTGGGAACCGTTAGGAATGATGAGACTTCTTGACCCGCGTTCTCCTTCACTTGGTCCAGTCGTTTCATAGATGAGCATGAACCTGTTGTCACCGGCTAGTGGGCCCTCGTCCTCTTTGAGCCCTTCTCCCATCCTTTTATCCTTTTCTTCTTTATCTTACTTCCCAGAGCAAAATCAAGGTCAATCATAATTATGCTTGGGAGATCTCTCGAAAGTAGGGAATTCATGGGATATACTAAAAAAAAATACTATTGCGTGTTACATTGCGTTCCAGACGTTTATGGTAGCGAATGAATGGTCTTCATGGATAATAGGAGGGATAAAGACAGTCCTTCCTCCCTTCGTATTTCTGGCGATCTTTATAGATCAATTTGCTTGTGGTGATGGGCTCGATTTCTACAGGGTTGGCGACCACCATGATTAGCTCTTCCCTCCAGCACCGACATTTCAGCCGAGGTGCGACTGGATTCCACAGGTTCTCTGTATTCACTTCTTGCGGTGAGGGGGAAAAACAGGTATCCCATAGGCATCGTTCATTCTCGAGACTCAGAGACCCAGAATTAAGGAATGCATGACGGATCCAGTCCAGCAACACCGTGAGACCGGATGTTAAGAGAAATGCAGAGAGAAAACTCGACCCGAGTAGGACTGAAGAGGGGACAAGGAGTCCTTGAGTGGCGGTGGAGGTACCGGGAATGTGAATGGCGTGTGAGAAGGGCGAGACCGTACGTGACCGATGTGTTGTGCAAATGTCACTTGACTCATAATCGCGTTTGCAACTAGCCTATTGTTCCTCTCCTTTGTTTGCCTTTCTAAGATTCGATTATGCCTCAGCTATTTGCTATAATTTCTCTTCTTTTATTCCTTCTTTTCTTCCTTGTATTTTCATTCCATTTGCAGCCCTCAACCTCTGTGATTTCTCAGCTTCTGACCTTCATTTCCTCAGTGCAATTCTCGAAAGGAAGTACACGTGGGGATCAATGAAGAGGGAACCCCCGCAGGATAGAAAATTGACTCTCAAGAGTAACTCGAGACTTTCCTGCCATTACCGGTGCGAGGGTTCGGGGGAGGGTTCGGTTTAGTCGGTGTACCATAGGTATGAATATATGGTCCCGGATAGGGATGAGTAACGATACGAGTAGCAAAGCAGAAGCAGAAGAGAACCTCTCTCCCGTTTCGCACCATTTCTTAGGAGCTCATGTTGTTGACTCGTCCCATGTGAAATGAGAGAGAGAGAGAGCGGAGAGAAATCATGCGCTTCATCTAAAGGAGTGCAATTCGCTCATGCCTCTCTGAAAATAGAAAAGCCCTAGGATCCTCTCCTCTCTGTCTGTCGTTCCCGTTCTTCCATTCCATTCCTTTCCTTATGTTATGTTTCACATTCCTTCCATCCGAGAACTGCCTTGTCTGCCCATGCCCCATCAGTAATCGCTAAATGATGCAGGATAAGCTACTCTCCCCCTACCTTCAATGAGTCGGAATCATCGTTCTGCAATATTTTCTCTGGATGGCACACATAGGTTACCCGAGTTCACTCATCTTTTCCACCATGTTAAAAAGTTGAGATAGTTGATTGAGAATTCGGAGACTGAGTTTTCTTGTTCATACCATTATCAGTTGATTAGTTAAAATATATAGTGGAAACAGGCACATACTGATCTTTAAGTCTTAATGATACAGACACTCGTTGGAATATATTATTAACTTCCAAATGTGAGTGTGGACGAAGCTAGCGATCGTTAAGGCCGACTGCAGACCCCTCTGGATCCCCTCTCATCGATCCCACTTGTGTGCACACCCTTTTTTCACCTGATCACTTGACCAGCTTTCTTCCTCGGACGGTCTTAGTGGAAACGCGAAGAAAGTAGATCAGTTAGGATATATAGATTGATATATAGATTTGATCTGGCTATCGTTAGCACTTTTGAGTCCCATACCCGTCATATGACGGGTATAAGCCATAGCACATTCAAATCTCCGGGACTGAAAATGTTCAAGGATCATAGTGGGAACAGATATTTTCCACGGGCTATTGAAGTAATTTTTTTTTTCATAGCAATTCTTATTCGAGATTAGATAAGAGTTAATTTTCGTTGTTTAATGCTGGCAACCTTCTTTGTCTCTCTTCATCTTTCCCCTCCCCTCAAAGCGAAACTTCCCTCTACCGCAGCATGCTTCATATTCGTTTGTCCAGTGTCACTTCCACGCTTGACAGGGTGGTGGACCTTCCTTCCGCGGCAGTGGGAGAAAAGCGAATTTCCCATCTGGCCATGGTCAAATGCAATTGGAGCATGGAAAGGAGGCCAGGTGTGGCTGCAAGATAGGGTGCCTGTTGTCTGGCTCTGTCTTGCTTATGTTTCCCCTAAAATACTGCCCATTCGGTACAGAAGCAGTAGGGGGCCATCATATAATGGACATTTTTGAACCGCGTCGATGCCCTGGGGGCCTTTTCTATGCTTTCACCTCTGGCCCCTTCCGATCGATCGTCTGTACCTCCTAGAGCGGACCGAAGTTAGCCTGGTTCTAAATGGCATCGACAAATCGAGAAGACAAGTGATGTGCCGTGACTGAGGATGATGACAGATGAGGACGTTCCCTCTCGATATCTTGCACTGTTCCATATTAGTCGTAGAAGAAAATGTGTGCATGGTTTTCATCTCGAGGATTGCTGGTTATCATCATGGGATAATTGCTGGTCTCCCTAGCCATGACCGTTGACTCGCATGTGCAACTGCCATTCCGGCATTCATTCCTCGTTGTTCGTTAATCCCAGAGTCGGCTACATTGTTCATACTGTATGTCCTTTGTTCTATTCACCTACTGGTCCAGCAAATGCGTGACATGCCTAACACTGCATGCAAGAGTCTCCAGGGTTGATTACCGAGGGATCATTACTCAGAGATGTAGTGTTTTCGCTCTTTTATCGCAGTCGAAAGTGAAAATGATATTAAATTAAAGTGTTAATAATTTGACGCCCCCTCGGGAATGACTAGGTAAAATACAAGTCACTTGAAGATCTAGAATGGTATTCTAAAACGAAAACTATGCACCACAACTCAGTGA